GATGGATTATGTTCTGTTTTCATTAAAAAACCCGCCAAAAAAAATCATTCTTTAGTTTGAAACACCCAGAGCTGTCCAATTAATCTGTGATTTCACCATCATTTTTACATTTGAAAAATTCAGTTCTACCTCAGAGGAGCAAGATGAAGTTGTAGCTCTGTACTAGCATGAAGAAATTCGAGGCAGAATAACGGTGGCAGGCATTTTAAAATTAGTCTCACAGTATCAACATGTGCTTCATAGAACAGGAGCAAGACTTCCTCGTCAGGACTTTATACAATGCTGCACTTGGCTATCAGATCAAGGGCAGCAGAGAGCTAAAAATCACTGAATAAACTGCACTAGGTAAAATACTTCCCTGAGAAGTATTAAGAATTAACAATTAAAACTACTGAGCATAAAGACAATTGTGTTCTGGGCTTTGAAAGACTGCAAATAGAAATTTATGATAAATATAGAAAAAAGCTTCAACAAAGACAAGAGAAAAACATTTAACTGCAGAAGAGAGGGCACCTGGCACTTGTACTTATGGAAAAGCATGAAAAGAGGTACAATGCTGGGAGTAAAACAGGATTAGCTGACGTTCTCCTTTCTCCTCCTACAGCTACATAAAGAGAAATAATTTTAAAATAAGAGAATCCTTCATTAGTGATTTCAGTAACCTTAAAATAATAATCACAGGGAATTTACAACAAAGCCATCTTTAGAGAATGTAACAGTGCAATAAAATGACAACAAGTGAAAAAAGTTTTTTTTATTTCTCAGTGTTTCTCCACTGTCAATACTGTCCTTTTGCTGCAACACGTTGCAAAAAACTCTCTGCCTTTTCCATTTTAAACAGCTACAATATTTACAGGAGGCTGTTTCCAGTAACACACGCAGACGCACACGCTCACAGACACGCAGGTACATATATCCCTATCCCTGGCAAGGTATCCGTTTGCTGGTCGAGGCAATATATATATATATTTCCATTGTCCATTAAAAAAACAAAGCCATCCTCCCATTTATGCCCTGCTCCCCTCTCCATTTCTTAACCAGCAGCTTATTGTCAAGCTTTTGAGGGTGTCTGTGTAAGAAGTTAAAGAATCCAGCTATTGGATCGCCAACTCTCAGAGGTGGGCACTAGGTGTACTGGGATTACCTATTCAAACTGTACATACCAGAAGTCATAAAAATTGCTCTTATTTAGATGTTTGTGACTGAGTGATGTATGGATACTCCTGAAATCTTTTGGGGCAGCCATCTTATTCACCTTTTTGGAAATATGCATATCATGCTGGGGTGAAACAAGCCACATGCTTTACTTTCCACCAAGGTGTTATGTACCCACTTTTTTACTAAGGCACCAGTAATTACCAGTATAATTTCTGAAAGAGTCCAACGCCACTGAATGTACTGCATTGGATTATCAAATAGCAAGCCAGACAAGAAAAGAATAGATGCCTATATAATAGGTATAAAATTCCTTAATAAAATTAAGTACATAAAACCTGTGGTGGTACAACCCCAAATCCAGTCTAAGTTGAATAATATTTGAATAACATTGTTAATGGTAAGAAATGCAGTTTAACCTGCTTTGTTTTGTGAATGGAGAGTTCTGTAACTGAGCAAGGTCTTTAAAGCAGTGTCTCTGTATCTACACTCCTAGGTCATATGGTGTTGTGTGCATCATCAGTGAAACAATCTGAACGTTTGAACTTGAATCCAGCTGTAAAGCATCTCTCCTGCCCCCTCACACTGCAGTCCAGAGCAAGCTTCATGGCCACTTGCCAGACAGCCACAGGCATGGACCTGTGCTGCACATCTTCCATCTTCCACCTCACCAGTCATCTAGGCTTCTCAGAAGAGTCCTTCAGTTCCCAGAGGGGTTGTGAACAGGGGGGTAAGGAGTGCCTGGTGATGAACTACACAGCTGACTGGAAAAGGGAGATGACTGCTCAGAAACATGCCAAATGTCCCAGGCAAAGTGGCTGCAGGACTAATCTACCTACATGGAATTAACTTAAAAATAATCATCACCACCATCTTCCCCCTTGCTCTTCCTCTAAACTCTCACAGATCATCTCACAAATGCTGCATCATGGGAGCTCCCCAGAATTCATCACAAGTATCACACAAGTGCAAGTGGCACAGAAGTCTAGGTGTCATCACTGGTGTCACACATTTTAGGGGTTTGTTTTGAACGATAATTTAAAAGATTTTACAGGGAGGTGAGATGGGAAGAAGTTTTAAAAAAAAAATTAAGTAGCAGCCATTTTTACTAATTAACATAATCTGACTAGTGGGGTCTTCAAGAACTTTTCTGTAATTATTTGTTTTAGGGAGCAGTAAGTCCTTACGTGTGTACACACAGATATCACTTCTAAAGAAATCTCAGAGAAACAAAAGAGATTGTAATCTACCTGGAAGCTAAAACAATGGGACTCAACTGGAATGTTCTTATGACAAGAGAATATCAAACAATGCAAGAGAAGAGAATTAAAGCACTCATCTATAACAGGTTTCCATGAAAGCTTCGAAAGAACTAAAAGGGAAAAAATGAATCTCTGCTCTATGCTGAGCTCAATCTGCACTGGCAGGACTAATCGGATTTGAAAATACCCATCTTTTCCATACTCACAATAGCAGAAAAAAATATTATGCATCAAGACAACAGCCAAAGAAAAGAAAACAAAAGATGAAATGATCTCCATCTGGAACAGAGGTTTCCATGGACAGATCTATCCTGTGAGGAGTTAGAAGAAAACAAACACAGTATTGTCACTTGCACAGTAGAAACTAAGACAAACTTTGCACAAACCAACATAAAAATCATATATGAATCTTAAAAAGAGTTCTGCATTCAGAACTTAAAAAAAATCTGTTAAAAAAAAGCCTTATAAAGAGTGAAATTTCAACTAGGTGGCTTCTGTTGAGCAGCTCTACAACAGGTATGAACCCTATGTGAACAGCTTGACAACAAGTGTTTGCTGAGTATCTGAAAGAAGATATTAACCTGTTAACTGGCCATATTAAAACCCATCTCCTGAAGGTAACACACCAAAAGCCTTAAGATTAAAAAAAAAAAAAATAAAAAAAGACTCATTAATTCCCTTTGCCTCTGGAAGAAAAAAAAAAAAATGCTGTCTTCAACTCATCTGCAGTTTGCTGACCTAATTCAATACACATTCTCTACAATTTATATGTTAACAAGCCATTAATTCCCATCATGTCTACTACCAGCAACGTACGTTGTCGTTGTCATTGTCTTGCCCTGAAGAGAGTGAAAGATTGTTCACAGCCAGGGTTAACGTATTGAAAGTTGCTTCAGTCAAGTTTTCTAAAAACAAACAAACAAAAAAAAACCTATGCACTGTATTTTGTTTTTCAGTCATTTGTTTGCCTCAAGGCTTCAGTACAAGAAAAAAAAGCCTCATGCACCTAGTATCAAATGGGGGCCTATTTTCAGATAAATTCCTCTTTCTGAAATGAAGCAATACTCCTAGTGACACAGGAAACCTGAAGGGAAGGACACAGGAAAAAAAATCCAAAACCTTAACACCTTCAATTGAAAATTCATCTCATGCAGGAGATGAATTCAACTACACTACAACGTGCACAGATGGTAAACTACATACAACAGCAAAATTATTTCAGTGGTGGCAGACCCAGAACTGTCCATTTATACCCAAGTTAAATGGGACTGCATGTGTATAAACCAAACAGTAACATGCAACTGTAAGGAGCACAGTACTTGGAGTACCAGTATGCATAGTGCAGGATGTAAGCAAGGTCCCAGTACATCTCACTGGGAACAGCACCTAGAACTGGCCAGCTACCAGGCACACAGACTTACCCCTTCATGGCCAGATGGAATACAGTGACTTGAGCTGGAATACCATTATTTCTCAGGTAGCTGTTTCTTCCTTTGTTTTTTCTCATCCCATATAATTTCACTCTTATGTTAGGTACATAATGGACAAAGTTTCTCTGATGCCAGAGAAACAATCACAATAACCTCTGTGGTGTATCAGAAGTGTCTTCTGGTTACGTTACGCATAGAGAAGCGGAGGTGACTGGGAAGAAGATGGCTGCTCCCAAAAGCTAGGACTGTGTGCAGGTTCCCCACAGAGTCCTATGTGATTACAGGTTAGAAACAGGAAACAATCACAACAGGTACGTTTTTTTTTCTTACGGATTAAGAGAAGTGAGTCATAGGAACTGCAAGTCAAGAACAAACCAGTTTCCCTCTCACACTCCCATGATAGTTCTGAGTTACTTGTTTCCCTGAATACACACTTTTAAAAAAATACAATAAAACCTAGGATATGTAACACATGAATAATTCAACTTCACAGTTATAAATACTCAAATTACACTTACATAGAATATATAATCACAGAAAATAAAATTCAAGTCATAGAAAAGAATGAAGACTAAAGGGAAAGAAAAGGCAAGGTGGTAAAAGTGATAGAAGTTTAGGGCTGTGCCTTCTATAAAAGCTCTTCAAAAGCTGAAGGTGGGTTTTGTTGGTTTGTTTTGGTTGGTTTGGGGCATTTTGTTGTTGCGGTTTTTTCATTTTAAATTGGATGGAATCAAAAAACCCCTCAAGTCTCCATGAAGCAATCACGGACCTGCACCTCCTCCTATAAAACTCAAGCAATTGTTTCTGCCAGAGAAGAGCCAATGAAACAACATAGCCAGCTCTGGGTGTAAAGCAACATGGCCATGGCTACTGGAGGGAGGACAGATGAAAGGGAGTTTATTGGGGTCCACTTTGAAGCTAGACATGTTGTACAGATTTGAGGTACCATTGCCACCACAATAGTCTGATGCAGTACAGGGATACTCAGGTGCTCTTCTAGATATTTGTTATTTCACCATTTATTGTGAAGAGGATGCAGCAAATGCACTTGTATGAAATACAGAACGTAGAACCAAACCCATGGCACAGCCCTTACCATCAACATATATATGGAGAGGGAGGGGATTAATCCCAAAGGCAATTTAAATAATGGTATTTTATATACTTATATTTATATATATAAATAAATGTTCTCAGCAATCTCAGGGTTGTTTTTAGTGCATTGCTGTAAAAAAATTAGTGCAGTTCTCATTAATGTTTAGCTCATAAGGAATAAGAATCTATACATCTGTTCAGTCTCTTCTTGTCACACCTGAAACCCTTACACTGTTTCACCAAACTGAAGGTTTGTAGTCAATTTCTTTAAAATAAGGTGGATGAATTCCACACGCTCTGTGACAAGACATGACAATTTTTGGCAAAACAATTAGAAAAATATGAGGTGCTCTGATCTTAGAACTGAAAAGTTTGTTGATTTAAAGCATTACGCAATGCATAAACAAAATTTATAAACAAAAAGATATGTCTCAACAAATCTATCCTTCATGCAAATGTTTCTTCAGCAGCTAACAACTTAAAAAAAATTTCTTACACTTGTTTATTTGGGAAAAGGGACTTAGACAAAATGTGTGTTTCAAGTCCTTTCCTACAACTGGACTGAAGTTTCATGTCCTGGGAGCTGGTTCTTCTGGACCCTTCTCTCTTCTGAACCGTTGGAGAAAGGGAAGTTTCAGTCTCAAAGAGATTTACACTTCAGCCCCAAGTTCAAGGACTCCAGTTTCAACAACAGCAACATATTTATCTTCAATTTGAACCAGCAGGATGGTTTTATCTATATGGGACCGACTACTTGGATCTCTGCTGCAAGGCACCCAGCGGTGAATCACCTGGAGGGGAAAAAAAGTATAATAAAAGTTATGTTCCATAGGGAAAGCTGCCCCATCAAAGTTGTGGCTGATAACTGAAGACCCTTACAGGGCAAAAGGAGCAAGAATCTAAGTGCTGTACTGACTTAGCTGTTAACTTCTCATTGACAACATACCCAAAAATAAGCTACTCATTGAATTCCTGATCCTGAGAGATCTGCAGCTTACCTGAGAACAGCCAGCCTTTGATTTGAATTGCAGCAGGAACAAACAACTCAACCCGAATCAGAACCAAACAGTTCATGCAAAGTAAGTAACAACTGAAAAAAGTATATGTATGGATTTGGGATATTTTGATGTTCTGGTTGCAATAGTCTTAAAATACCCCAATGTTGTTCAGCAAGCACATAACTGCATGGAAATGTGGCTTATCAGGAAACTACTGTCTCCTCTAAGACAAATCTCTTACCCTAGTTTTGTTCCATACCCACTGTGAATTCAAGGTTGATCTTTTAACTTAAACTACTCAAAGATAATTTTAAGTGACCAAATATTACAAAGAAGGGTTTCAGAAACAGTGCCACAAACTGTCCCGTACACCCTTGGATCTACAGAATTCAGGTGCTTTGATCTACTGCTTCCAAGGATCTTGCCTGATACCACCAATCAGAAGGTTCCTTTCCCATACAGGCCCTTGCATGACCTTGTCTGTCTCTGCCTATCTGCTTCCATAAAAATATACCCTTAACTTCTGGGTGCCCCAAGGAACCACAAGGATGCTCCAGTAATATAGTTTTAAGTTTTGCCAGGTCCACAGAAACAGAATTATCTCAAAATTTGCCAGTGGTGGGAAAAGAACCCTGAATTCAAGACAAGGTAAGGTAAAAAGTAAATCAAATTTATGTTTACAAAATCCAAGAGAAGGTTTCCAGAGTTTTGAAAATACAGGTGGGGAAACAGGACAGAAAATTACAACTAACCATCTTCCAAGATCAAATCTAAGAGACCCCCTTAATCCTCACTATACCCAGCTGACAGCTGCCAGTTTCTCCAACACTGGGTGAAGTAGATTCAGCTTTGTCCTCTGCATGAGATCTATACTGCATCCACGAGGAGAGCATTTCAGCCAGGGAGGCATGGCATCTTCAGTTCCCCTGTCTGATGTAACTGTATGATATTTAAGTAGCCTGTTCAAGTCTGACTTAACCAAATTCTGCCCAAATAAACTACTTCTGCTGCTGTATGGAGCGACGCCAGGACTATTCCATCCCCAGACACATAAAACATCCCACAATGAAGTCCAAATACTGTATCTTTATTGTCCAACTTGTAACTGGTGCCTTTGAGATCCCAAAGAGCTGACTCCAAAGTCATAAATATTGTAGCTCCTTAAAAACTGTATGTGCAAGAATTGTACACAGAATATAACTCACTGCAACCATCCCCCTGCACTGAGTTTTACCATCTCTACTATTATGACTGGTATTTATTTGATGCCCATAGATGACTGACAAAATGCAAAATGTGACTAGATAGTAAATGTAAGAATCTCAGGGGGGAGACTTCCACATGGCGCCAGTGCCAGGTATAGAAGTCCAATGCAGAGTATAACAATCTCAAAGCCGTTGAAAAATAGCTACAATACAAAGAAGATTGCTAAATTTAATTTCCTTCAAGAAACCCTGTAATGTCTTCTGTGTATTATATATGCTGTATACTCAGCAAAATAAAAAGCAGAGTTAGGAAAAATGCTTTTTTCTATGCAGTAGAAAAGTTTTAAACAACTGAGTGCTAAACTTCATACCAACATCACTGACATAATGCTGTGGCTGGTGAACTGCTTGATGAGCAGCATCTCAGCAGGTAAGAATCATTCCTGCCTGTCTGCAGCCCCTGGATCAGAAAGGGAAGACTGTCCCAGGAGCTAATGGCTTTCCTGATACTAGTATGTTTAACCAGAGGCAGCTGAAGCAGGCAGCAGAAACTATGTCATCAAGTTAAATCCTCTCCTCTTAATCACATATAGGATAATCTGGTGCTTCCCCCTTGCTTCTTAGGTTAAAAGATGCTGCTCTACAACAACCTACCAGTATGCTGCACCAAAAATAGATGAGAAGCTTTCAGAACAGTAGCTTACTCTAACCTGCAAATCCTCTTGTTTTAATCTTTCTGTAACATCAATCACTGTACATATCAGCATGCTGCAATTTATAAAACACAAACTCCTGAAAACACTGTGAAGGCAACAGGACATGTTTTGCTGTAACCCTTTACATTCACCATCTTTAGGACACTGTTTGGCAATAACTAACAAGGAAATTACCAAAGTAGAACATCTAACCCCAACATAACTATGAATATCTGCAACAGCACTCTACTCCTAAGTGCTACCTACAGTGTAACTCTACTATCTAAAGAGTATCAACTACAATACAGTTATTTGTGGATGGAATTTCCAGGGCCCTTCCTTCACACACATCTAACAGCAAGGGAGACTTGGCCCACATGCTGCTACCAGCATATTGCCATTTCTTGTCTGAACTTTGCTCATACATCCACAGTGATGCGGGTGCAGATTTTCAGACAGCAAAACCCAGTCCCTGAACCCAATTTATAAACAACACCTCCAACTGAGGTAAGAATCAAAGCCAAATCTTACAGCCTGTCAGAACTGACATATTCCAAAGGAAAACACAGCTGTACTGATGAACCAATGCAGACCATGTCAGTGACTCTCTCCTTTCACGATTTATCACTGGAAGAATACTCACTGGAGCACCTTTATAGACACAAAGGGCTAAAAAATAAAAAATGTATGTCTGAGGCTTTTTGTTTTATACTGAAAGACAGAGCTGGATTTTTACTGTCCTGAAGAGAGCCTAAATTAGAATATAAGTTTTCTAGCTAATGCAGTGAGTAGGCCTTTGCAAGTTTTAGTTACAGAACATTTCCTTCTTAAACACCTATCACTTACCTATTACATAATAAAAAGACAATCTTACTTGGCTCTATTTTCAACAGAATAATTAAAGAACAAATACTGTTAACCATTCAGGGACTTAGGAAATTGTGGTTCTTATTTGGCCAAGGGTTGACAGTTTATGGAAAGGAAAACAAAGGTTGTCTAAATGAACGAAATGCCCGAGTTCATGACAAGAGCTGGAAGAAGGCAAGAAAGGATAGGTGCTTGATAACATCTGAATCGCTATCCTGCATCTTTTAGATACAGCTGTAGAAGTATCCCTCTGCTTTAATGTCAGAGTCTAGACCTGCTCTTCCATCAACAGTGACTTGGAGGATAGCTACTGACCCAACTTACGTGTATTTTTTGCCTTAACATCTAGGCAGACCACCACAGAATCAAGACTGACTTTTTTTAAATTAGTTGTCAAATTCTCAGCAAAACTTACATGGCCTTCCATGCCTTCCTGAGGACTCCAGTCTTTCCAGCTGTTTCTTCCAGCTTTTAGCCGTATCACCTCATCTGGCCACTGCAGCTCTTTCCTTTTTGACACGTTGATCCCTTCCAGTACTTGACTGGGATCCATTAACTATAAGTAGGAATTGAGTTTTGACTGTTAGTTCAGCCAAAATTTACAAGAAACAGACAGAACTGTAACCTTTTGCATATTTCCAGAGAACTGCCTTTGACCTTTGACCCACAGAAATCAAGCTCTGACCAATTTCAGTGTTGGAAACTCAAGCTCCAGGCTAGGAGAAATCCCAAGCAGCACAGAATTTGGAAGTTTCAGACACAGCTGACAATACACCAGTTCACTGCTGTCTGAAGCAGCAGCTCTGATTCTCTTTCCCACCCCTCCTTTCAGTTACACGGGTTCATGGCAGGGTCTGAGGAGCTGGCACAACAGGAACATTGGCAGCATGTGGTCCAGTAGCAGGGAAGAGTTAAGTGAGGATGAGCTGTTAAAACTGGCTCATTGTCTCATAAGACACTCTAAGAAGTAGTCTTGGAGGATTTACTGTTAGGTTAAAGAGCTGTTTATCTCCTAGCATGGTTAGCCAAGGCCCCCCCAAGACCCACAATGTCTACTGCCCAATGGCACATCACCTTTCCCTGTATCCTCCTCACACAGAGGAACTGAACAGTTTCATAAAACGGCTCCTTGCCCCAAGCAAAACCCACTAAGCTTAGACCTGCAAAATTAATTTCTCAGCTTTGCCCATGATGATGCAGTTCACTAGAGGATTACTCTGAAACAAAGTGGCATCAGCAATGAAATCACATTTGTTACCATCTATCCTATTAAATATGCTTCTTGATGTTTCCCCATTAATATACTGCCAAAGACACGTATGTGGGGCTAATAAAAGCTAGCAGAACAAGAATACAAATTTTGAGTGTCACATGAGTAAGTCTACCACCATTACCTTAGTCACTGGTGTATCATTTGCTGCTCAGTAAACCCAGACTTGTGGCAAAAACCAAAGAACACAAATATATGAAAATGAATGTGAGGTTTTTTTTTTTTTACACTTTTTTGGAAAAATCTACTCTGTTTATAAGAAAGCTAGGTGCTTTCTGCCCTGCAAATGAAGGTGTTTAGCTTTACATGTTGTAACAAATAAAGGCAAACTAAGTACAAAGTAGAACCATTCAGCTGACATTCTCAAAGCTGCACTGCAGCAAAACAGGTAAAGCATGTCAGTGGGGATTGCTAAGCATGCAGGAAGGCTGGCTGTCCAGAAAACTTCTTCCTTGCGTTAGTTCTCCAGATCTAGCTGTACAACAGTTGTACACCAATACATTCCACTCTGTGTGTGGGCATTTCAAGTAGTGGTTTCAACAACATACAAGGTAACACAGGGAAAGCACATGGAAGCACAGGTTAACTGGTTCCTCTGGACTATTCACCTGGATTCTGTAAATAACGTCATCCTTTTTGGCTTGCATTTGATTTGCAGGGCTTGCATTACCACCCGACTGAGAGTCAGTTGAATTGCTCCCTCCTTCAGTCCCTAGAAAGCCCACAAGGGCATGCTGTTTACAGGCTGGGATGCTTTGGCTGGAGCTGCTGGAAGAGGGCAGTCCGTGCTGCACGCTGACCCCAGCCTGGCCAGTAGGTTCCATTTGGTTCACCATGGAGAGGCGGGACTGGATGGAGGAGGGGAGGTTCCGCAGGGAGATCTGGCTGGTGGAGGAGCGGCGGCAAGGCACGAAGCCCGTGGCGGACGTGCGGAGGGACGAGTGGCGGCTGCCGTAGCAGTAGGACGAGTGGCTGGCTACCGAGGCACGGGCAGGGGAGTGTCTCACCAGGCTGGACTGCACCGAGTGAGAGCTGTGACTGGTGCCTAAAGGCAAGAGACACAGAATCAGTCTGAGAAAGCCTCACGCACGTCACACCGCCAAGACACAGACGTTTTAGCACTTAGATACAGAACTGATGGGTCTAGTCAACATCTGGAGCAGCTGTATTGCAGATGATCTGTTGCATTTCAAAGAGCAGAGCATTTGAATACATGCCTTTCATCTTATCTTGGAATTCCATATTCTGTTCAACTCAATCCCTGCAAGACAAGTAGCCTGAAAAATGCTTCAGCCTTTTGAACTTGTTTCTTAACATTAACACTTAAGTTTCCCATGCTTAAGGCACTGAGGCAGGTAGAGATGGTCACATTTCAAAATACTAAATATCCTTTCTTAACATGCTTGACTGGATGTCCAAAGGTCGAGTCAGAAAACTTGTTAGAGCAAAAGCTGTCTGTAAAAAAGCTCAGAAAAACTTAATACACTTAAAAATAGTTGTAATTTTATGGGCATTGGTGTCATGACTTTTCCTATACTAAGTACTTGTAGATACCTTTCCACAGCTTATAGGCCAAATTACATTGTGCAAAGATAAAAAAAAAATCATTCAACTATATACACTTTAAAATTCTTTGTGAGTAAAGGCAGTGTTTAGAAAGCTTTTTCTCAGCTTTACTGTTTGTCACCTCACTAACTACAGATCACTACAGACTCTTAGGATGGGATTCAGCTAAAATACTTTGGAAATAGAGAATCCATTCCACTGTATACATAAAACAAACAAAGATTTCATAAAAAATTACAAGTTTAGTATTTGCAGACAGTATGTCACAAGTGAAGAGACTGAGTCTGTAGAGATGTGTTTTAAAAAGTTATTTAATCTATTTTGCCAGCACAACTATGTCCCTATTGCTCAAATCTCCATTTGGGAACCCTGCATTGCATAAACCAGCACTGTAGTGCAAGATGAACCCAGAAGCTGTTAACACCACGTAACCAAGTCACTTCTGTTTACTTTTTCTTGTAACTTAGGCCTGATCCAAAGAGCTGAAAGGCCAGTTCTGCCTATAGGATTTTACTTGCATAAAATCGTTGGGTTTTCTCAATTTCAGCTTTACCCAGAGTGGAGGGATGAGCTGGTGGATGAGCTGCAGGAAGAGCTGCGGGATGAGCTGCCACAGGAGGGTGCTGTACTGCTCCAGGTCCCTGCCCTGTAGTTGCATTCCCCCCTCCTTGCGACATGCTGCTCTGCGACTCATTGATAGTTGCATTGTTACTTGTGCAAGAAGCTCCACCTCCAGCATCTGAATCTTCAATGTTTCCACCGCTATTGCAGCCAGCTCCACAGCCTTTCCTTAGTCTGTAAACACAATGCAAGTGACACAGCAAGTCAGGCCTCCTAATCACTGGGATTCTACAAAACGCCTTACAACAACAAGCGAAAAGCTTTAGTCACTATAATCCACAGCATTCCCTAAGATCAGATAAAACTTTATTTTCTCAGCATATGCTTTGCAAATATAAACGCTGCTTTCTAAGAGGCTCAAATTTTCTTCATGACAGCTATTCAAGTAACAGTTATTTATGATAAGCCAAACGGTGGTACAAAACAGCATTTGAAAAAAAATCAGGTCACCTCTGAAGTACAATGAAGTGATCAAATTCTAAACATAAAATGCTGGTAGAATATCCTCGTTATTTTGTAACAGCTTAGTAAAATTTATGCTCAACACAGCAGTTCTGTGTATTATTATACTGCAAAAACTTGGCTATTCAGATGAGCAGGAAAAGAAAGTTTGTTGGGTTTCTTGTTTGGTTTTGTTTGTTTTCATGTATTTGGTTTCCTGTTACCTCCAGCAATGTACTCAAGTTGTTCGAAACACATATTGCAATTACTTGAATCACGAATTCTCCTGTGAATTTTGAACATTCACAGAGCAGGGCAGCCAACATTTTCCAGTGTTTGGAACCACACAGGCTTTTCACCACATCGCCTTAACTCCAGACAGAGCCAAAAACCACAGCAGATTCCTTCTCCCTCAATTCCTATTTTTAATTAGTCTTTTCTTTCTGTCACACTCACACTGGGCACTCCTTTCTTAGTCTTTTCTTTCTGTCACACTCACACACACTGGGCACTCCTTTCCGATTTTATTTGCTCCTGGGATCCAGAATCCCAAAGCATACACAGCCTGGATCCAAATACTGCTCTGTCTCATATTTCCACCTGTTACTCTATCCACAAGCTGATGGTGACAGAAACCAACCCCCACAGACTGTAACAAATGTGGCATGTTCTGGGGTGAGGCAGTAAGTTCTCACTTGATGTGCTACAGATGTCTAAGTGCAAATGTGACCAACAGAACAGTTAAAGGACTATTCCAGCTACGACTCCAGCTCCTGGAACTGGTATGCACGTTTCTGAATGCCACACACAGTTGCCACTATGTATGAACATACCCTAACAACATTAATATCAGTACTTTCATGCTAAGTGTTAACAGACAGGAACCCTACCAAATAGTCACAATTCTGTAAAGGTGGCATGATGGGCTGAAAGTGATGGTACTGAAAGCAACAAATACATAAGCTGCACTGGGTCTTGTTATTAGACCCGAGATTAGAACTGAAGTTGTAGATCTTGTATCTAGATTATGTTGTGTTTCCTTTCCAGCTGTCATTTACATCGTTTGCGGCATTTTACTCATTGGCCTTTAAGATCAGTCCTGTACTAAGGCAGTTGCCACCATATGCTACAGGTGTGCCTGAAATGAAAGTCAAGGCCTAGTTCCAAGTGATTAAATATGTGAAGTTATACTGTGTTGGGCATGTACAAGACCAGTTAACGGAATCTGAGAGCATGAACACATGCTAATGAGACGTCATTTCCTCAGCTCACCTGTGCCATGTAGACACTATGAAGTTTCTGATGTTTCCTAAGCTGATAGCTCCTCCGAGAATCTCCTTCAGCTGTTCGTGGCTATCTGAGTAGGAAGTAGTCAGAGGTGAGACGTAGATTGGGTACCCAATAGGCTGGTCACAAGAGGAGTTGATCATGTTCCTCAGAGCTTGTTTTGCATTTTGGATACTTCCTCTCTCTGGGTTACGGTTACGCAGGAAGACGAGCTCCTGCTGTTGTCCTGCCCAGAGGCCACGCACACACTCCTTATTCACCTGCAAAAGCCAAGCAGAAAGGTTGTGTCAGGAAGCAAAACAAGGAGAGAGTGTGATGAGACCTTCCCTGTACTTCAGCCTTCAGGAGTGTATCTAACATTGCACCACAGAACTGCAAGCATTCAATATCTGCTTTTTTAAAAGGCTGAACTTCCAGACATAGGCTGCTGAGAACATAAAGCAAGTCTAAGAATAAGATAAGAAATTAGATATTCTCAGTCAGACGCTGATTTTCTGATTAAGTACTTCCACTCTCCGAGGAGAACCAGCCCTAGCAATGACAGCTCAGTAACAAAAAGTAACTATTGGAGTTAAAGTAGCTGTTTGGTGTAGTTATTAAAATATACCACAACATAGGGTTGTGCTGTGGAATGTGCACCAAGCTTACCTTAATGACCCTGAAACTGAGATAACGTTTATTCAGCATGATGATTTTATATTCATTGGTGCCATCATCCATTACGTGACGCAGAGCAAGGAGGGAGGGGGAATTGGAGAGAACTGCACTACGCCAGGCAGGGTCCCCCTCGTGGGCTATAACCAGATTTTCTTCGTGGGTTGTTATGGCTTCATAAAGGACAGAAGGATCATCGTATTCATCTGGAGAAGTGAAGTGATCCTGTGTCCAAGAACACACGTTCAGCAAACGGTTAACATTTCAGAAGTAACTACATATAAAAATCCAACATTTCACACCTCAATCACTTGAAAGGCTCAGTGCATTACACAGCTAGACATCAAGAATATCAAATACCTACCAAAGAACATTTTAAAAGTGACCTTTTCCAACAGATTAGTTCTCTTTGCTTGTATTCACTTTAACTCAAAACTGAAATGACTGGATGGACCTGCCTATTAGTGATTCAAGTAAATTTCTAGTTGAATTTTACACTAAATTTATATCTATTCATATTGCCTACAGAAGCATTTCAGTTTTAGCTTATTTGTTTGTCTACAAATCTCCAACTGTAAAACAAACTTAAGTAAATCAACGATTATTCACTGAAACTGTATTGTATTGAAAATATTAACAGGAAGAAAACCAGTAAGGTTTATCTGTATTTTCTATTAACAACTCCACGTTAATACTTGATGACAGACTATTTCTGTAATGGATACTATTGACACAACTTATATTCCTGCCTGTCAAATACGAACACAATTTGAAATTTCAGTTTGGTATTTAGATGACATAGCTTTCTGTTTAAAAAAGGGATAGTGGTTAATAGCTAGTGGCTGGAGCCCCAATACATTTGCACTACAAGTGAATAAAATCACCCTTTATAGGGTATTAATGTTCGGTAAACTTTTTTTTTCCTTCTTAGTGATATTTTTATTTATCTCACTCTTCATTCTCTGACTCAACTCAAACCCATTCCACACAGTAACCCAAATATACTGAGGACACTTCAGAACTGTTGTAGTGGTACTTCTGCTGGTCTCAACAATGATTTTGTAATTATTCTACTTCACTACATACACTCCTAATATATGCCTTCTGCTAAATTCAGGGAGTTTGTGTTACATGAAGGAGCTGATTCAATAAGTGCTAGCTTTGGGGATCTCCAAGAGTCTGCAGTGAAGACAAAAAAAAACTATTTTTAAAGAAGTGCAACTAAACTTTGCCTACTTACTACAATTTTCAAGCAACCTCTTCTTCTAGAGGACCAACACTTTCCCTCTCACAGTGCTTAGCAATCAGTACGTGCTTTGTTTGCTGAGCTTAGTTAATAGATGCACTGGTCAGAATTTGGGATTGTTCATCTTCACCCTGACTTCACTCTAAAGACCAACTTCAATTTCAGCTTATTTAAAAACAACCAATTCTCACCTGAAACCTTACTGAGGAGATCAAGGAGTAATGCCAAAGTGTCTGTTACTACAACACTTCCAACAGACAACAAGAAAACCAGCTGCCACTGGAGGAGAGTGCCACAGCTTTGAATGGCATGATAACCTTTTCAGCCAACTGCATATATGTGGGGAATAGAAGAAGGAGGGGGAAATACCAGAGAAGCTGTTCATAAGGGAATTCTCTGGACTGATAGCCCTGTCAAGACAGGGCTTAACATCACCTCTGATCTACATTTGATGTAATTGTCAAGCTCTGAGCATAAAATGCATTCCCTTTTCTTCTACATCACCTTCCACATGAACCGTAATAAAAAAAAAAAGACTAGACATGTTATTCCCTCATTTTTAGGTGTCCATCTCTATCACATGCCCTTTTATTCTCTTCCTCTTTTCTCTCTCCTAGATGCTTATTTTTAGAACGAATGCACAGAAATAAAAGGAACTGGACACATCTTCCTCTGTCATCTCTCACCTGATGTAACTTAAGTGACATTCGTATTCCAGGAACCACTACTTTCCTCAGCAGTTCCATGTCAGCAAAGATCCATTCATCTCTGATTGAAGATATACGGAAGTCACCCTTAAACAGGGCATGCAGGCCATACAAGAAAGATTCCAGATTACTGTTGAGGGAAAAAACCCACAAATATCCCATGAAGAAACAAGCCCAAATATTAACAGAAATACAAACACATCCACATCTATCATCACTGAAAAAAGCAGAAATACTGAGCTGTACAGGAAGGCACACAATTTTTTCTGTATGAAGATAACTCACAGGATGAGGCAAAAAGAGAACATACGAGTAAGGGTGTGTGTGAAAGCAAAGCCTGGACACTAGATGTCTGTGTGCACTGAACAGGTAATGAATGAGTCACACATACATACTATTTAGACAGATTAAAGAAAACAGGAATGTTGAGGAGTGCCTGACTTTATTCTGGATATTTTAACACAGAAAATTTTTCAAGTAATGTAACGCTGGAATGCACCAGTTAAGGTGGTTATGTAGCTTCAGTTATGCACGCAGTAGTACAGAATAAAAATCCTGACAACTTCCTCATGCTTAAAGATATTGCTTCCTTTCACTAAGCTAAAGTAAGAGTGAAAAATCAAATACGCTCCAATTGCTCTTTGGACTGCTTATCTGCAAGACCTTCAGGGGGCAATTGGCTCATACTTGGAAGAATTAGTCAGTTTCCCTGAAAGTCAAGTAGAACAAGTTTTACAGTCAGCACTCAGCTGACCAATAGCTTTACATCCAATTATGCTTCTTTATTTTCTTTCTCAGCCACCACCCTGTGACTTCCTGAAACATTACAACTGTATTTTACATCAGCTTTCTAAAGTTGAGGCTGTGAGCCTGCAAGAAAGTTTGAAGCATGATGACAGAGTTGAACTGAAGGAGATCTGTACACAGCTAAACTGTAAAACTTTTCATAATCATTTGATCCAACTTCCATCAAGACGTGCGTCCTTCATTTTAAGGAGCTGTCCTCCTCAGCTGTCCTCTATTTCCATACAGCACACACACTTGGAGTAGGAAATGGAGATTACTTTTAGAACTCAATTGGTGCTTTTTTTTTCCCCTCCCCCCCCCCATCATTAGTTGAATAAAATGCTCAAATCCAAGCTCTCATTTGCTGTTCTTTGGTTATGTTTCACTGGTGGTTATAACAAAGTCAAGTTACATGTTGTTTCTGTCTAGTTTAAGGGAAGATGACATTAAATATCCCATTCTTTTATGAAGAGGTACTCACCTAGTGTCTAACCTAGGGACCCAGTGGGATTTTGAGAAAGGAAACAAGTATTTCATTACCTAGACATATGATGTGAAGCTGTTCCCAACGCTCTCCGCCCCAGAACGCACAGTCCATAACACAATGTCACCAGGGGTGAGTCCTTACTTGAATCCAGTGGCTTGTGATGGCAAGAGAGAAAAAGAATAGTCAGGTGAATGGGTGAAGAAAAACCCTTTTGCCAGAATGAGTAAAAAGATCCAAAAATGTACAAAGGTACGTAAGCTGAACCATGCATTACAAGTCTGTAATTCTGAGTTAACTGTAAACTTGCCTGGACTAGGGGAAACTCACCCTCAGTTCAAAGCCAGACCAGTAGCTGTACAGGGTGTGCAATGCCCTAGGCAATAGTATCATTCATTTAAGTGATTAAACCTGACTTTCAGTACCTACACAAAATATTTCATAAGGTCATGACTTGGAGGGAAACAGTTTTCTTCAGTTGTTGTCATTCTACTCGAGAATATTTTAAATCTTACACTCATTAAAATGGGCTTCTAATTAACTTTTGCCTCCAAAGTAAAACTGAACTCTGAAGTCTCAGATCCTTCATTAAATGCAAAGCATTTAAAAAATTACAATTATGTTCTTGTCTTGAATTCCAATCAATTTCTGCTTATTCTCAGAGGAAACACTACTTTGACTAGCCTAAAATTTTTTTTGTAAACAGTAAGTCAAGACATCCCTCTACAGACATTAATATTCTATTTTAAATGTAGAAGGATTTGGAGAGAAGAAAAAGGTTGAATACAACGTGATCACTTTCACAAGCCAATAATTCCAGTGGTCCAAAGAAACAGTACAGTATGATCACTAAGACAGTCTTATAAGATAGCAACAGGTATTTTCATTTTTGGGGGGGGTTGTTGTTCTTTGTTTTTTTCTTTGAGTTAGGTTTGATTTGTGAACACTGAAACCTAAGCAAAAAAAAAAAAAAAAATCAGTTCTATGAATACACCCTTTTCTATGCAGATAAATGCATAAGATTCAACCGACTCATTTGAGCTGGCAAATGAAAATTAATTAATGAACAGGTTAAATGACATTAGAGAAATTAAATTCACATCTCACAAGTAGAAGATTAAAGCCAGTAAATTATAGGTGTTTTTAATTATAAATCCCTATTTTAAAAATCAATATCAAAGCAGCCTGCAAGTCAAACCAACATTCTAAAATAGTGAATGGCTTTCCTCACATGTTCATACTTACCTTTTCTCTTCGAGAGCAGCAGTATTCTATCCAGTTCAAATAGATCAAACAGAAACTCTCTCTGGAGATCCCTGCTAGACGGTGGTCATAATCCTCATCAATATTGGGGTTAAACGTTGGGTCTACATCAACGTAATTGCGGTCTGTGCACAACCGCAGCCCCTCCTGCATTGTCTCATTAGCTAACCACTCCTCCAGCTTGGGAGATGTTGTGACATAATAGATGATTCCCTGCAACAGTAGTAGTTAAAATATGAGTCAGTATTGCACTGAAAAAAGTCAGCAATCTCAGTTGTTTCAGCTCATTTACATTGTTTTCCTGGCAATGAATAGGACTGATACATAGTAGCATTTATTTAGCTAACAGACAAAAAAATTTGCACAGAAAACACAATACAGGTTTGTACACAGGCAGATTTTTCAAAGACTGTCAAGACTTGTGAAGCATGCACTGAAGGAATAAGGAAAAGAAAAAAGCATGGGACAGGACTCCCTGTAATTTTGCAGAAAAACATATAAGTAGGAATTTTTATCCAGTAAACATTGAGACAGATACTGGATTTCTAAAGAATTCAAATGCTTAATAAAATGAGTTTAAGACAGTTTAACACCCTTGTGTCTGTCAGGGGAGGGGAACAAGACAACATGTGTCTGAATAAGTATCTTGGAAATATATCAACCTAAAAATTTTCAGTTCTTTGAACGAGGGTGGTTTATGAAAGATCTCAGTTAGCAAACCAATTATCTCAAGGGATCTGAGGCCCAGAATCATCTTATAACAGCAGGGCTGGGCCTTTTTTCTTGAAAAAAACCCACCAAAGATGGTTGTGGACAGTTTTTAAAGATCAGAGCAGTCTGGCTTTCTCCAAGAGAACACACAATTTAACTTTTCATTAACAAGACAGCTATTATATTTGGGTAACAGCTTTCAAGGTTCTACTCCAGCTTCAGTTAGAAAGCGTTCTCTCTGTTCTAGACAACAGGGTTGTTGTCCTGCTCATGCACCAGAGTATGAAGTAATCATCAGTACAGCAAACTCCATCCTCTGAAGGTGTTCATACGTCTATAATTTGTATCACACTGTATGATCTCATATGGAAGACACTAGAAGTTCAAGATGTCAAGCAGCTCCCAGGTGTAATCCAGCCTACCTCCCCAGGAGGGCTGGAAGGACCCAAACCATACCTTCACGTAGTAAGTGGTGAGAATCTTCCGGAGATCAAAGACTTGAAGCATGGAAGCTGCACTGTTGTCTGTGATGCTATAACCCTCCAGAACATACTTTGTCACAAGCACTTCCCAAGCCAGCCACCGCTGCCCAAAGGCAGCATTAAAGGAAAGCATGTGAGGAAGATGGCCTGGTTCACAGCAACAAAAACCTTCATCTTCCTCTACGCCTTCAGTGATGGCCTCTACTTCTCGTTGCTGGCAATAAGTTCCTTGGGAGAAAACAGAAAGGAGAAAGCTGAACACTAGGATTGCTTTAATGGTGACTTGTGTTTAGAAGCATTTAGAATCCAACCCAGCTCCAATTATGTTTCTGCAACACCAAGTGAACTCTCTGTCAAGGAACACAAGAGGCGTTGATAGCTTAATTTGTCTCTCTAGGGTCACATTCTGGCTAGATGTCTCCAAGAATCAATTATGGTAGCCATGCTGCACTAAAATGGAAAGACAGCATCAACTCTGGTAGAGCAAGCTGGTTTTCCTCACATGTGATGAGGGCATAAGGAGGCCCTACAGCCCACTTCCAAAGCAATTAACTTACAGGATGGAACTGAAAATAAGTTTCCAAAGCAGAAGTTTGCTTTTCAGTACAGACAGGGAACTGTAACACACTCACCTCTGAATTCAAGCCCCCTCAGCTGGAAAGTGACCAAGCCATTTCCTATCTCTATAAGGTGTACTAGTGCATTGAGGTAGTCAGAGGCTAGGATGAAGCAGTCCCCAGTACTATAGTTTCCCCACCGACCCAACAACAAGTCTCCACATAGGCTGTGCTGAAGGGAACGGGTTAAATGTTCATAGAAGATTGAATTCAGGTTGTTATCATCTGAACCTGCAGGAAGATTGGATTTGGGTTATTATCTGAATCTGCAGGAAAACATCAAGCTTGAATGTCAATTATCATTTCACAGTGAATCCTACATTTCTCTTAACAGCAACATTTCAAGGTCGTTCTCCAACTTCACCCCCTCTCTTTTTAAGGGACAACTACTCCAAATGAATGCTAAGTGACATTTAGCACTTTTGACCATATTTTTTTTTCTCTTCTTAGTCACTCCTCCATTTTCCAAATTATTCCTTCAGTTCCATTCATGCATTTCCCATCAATCTATTCCGCACAATAAAGTGCAAAAGGAAATGAGCACAGAAGTATCTCAGCAGTGACTGTTGTACCAGTCTCATCACCATGACACTGAGACCTCCTCAAACAATGTCTGGCTTTAACTACTTGAGAAGAATAATAAGCAAAATGTCTTTATTTGTAATCATATGCACCAAGAAGTAAAGCAGACACACAAAGGTAAGGAGGGCAACATGAAGAAAAAAAAAAAAAAAAAAGACAGTCTAAAGAGAACAGAAAGAAATGACTGAGGAGAAAGTAACAGTAGACAGAACATATAGGCTGGGCAGGGCTGAAGAGGGCAAGCTATATGAATCCTACAAAAATCTTATAAAACCCATCTGTAATCACCACCAATCAAAAAAAACCCCAAACCTCCACCAAAAACAGACTGGGAAAACTACCTGGATTTCGATCAAGCTGTGAAGCCAGTCTTGTATTTGAATGATCCACACGCTTTGTGCTGAAAACAGTAAAATAAAGCATATTTAACACAGAACTTGTTACTGCAAGAAAATCTAAGGGAACAAACCACTGCTGTTACAAAATATTCTACTGAAATAGTTTCAAAAAGTTATTTTAAAATAATTCTATATGCAAGTTTGCCACTCTTCTCATATGTAAAAGTATTTTCTGCCTATACAGCATTATGATCCAATACCAAAATAAAGTTTGTCCACAGTAGGTAGTCACAGAATGATCTTTAGCTTTAGATATAAGTGTATGTATTTTCTTAGATAAATATCATAAACCTTTATATGTAACAAACTTAAAAACAATTAGATCAACACAGCTAACATTCCAGTAGACTTTACTGAAAGGGTAATTTTCAGATAGTTCTTATTTCTTTGGCTGAATTTAACAACCTTAATTCTTTTAACGTGACATTCGGAACACTGTATTAAAACTGTTCCTAGTGTTAGAAGGGACAAAAGCAATAAAGTAGTGAGATGAAAAATTGATTCCCCATAAATACCAGAACTATCCACTCATCTTGCCCTGTGTTGTTTATCTAACATTTTACTGGTCTGATGTTTCATCAACAATAGTGGACTTTGGAGAAATAAAACACAGGGAGAATGTAGCATAAAGAATCTTTTACTACTGATCCAGCCTTGATCAAAAAGATCTGAAGTTTTTTTTATACTGTTAGCCAGTTTTAGCTGTGGAACAAGCAATAACAAACATAGGTCAACTACAGTTATTAACTGTCCCCCAAACAGTTTTTGTACATAAATTCACTTTCTGATTAAAATCACACTTTACAATGCCATGGTTTTTATCTTTAAAAAAAATTAATGGGATGACATACCTTTAAGTAGAAATTACTTAAGAGGCTAAAGCAAGTGTTGCTACTATAAAAAACAGCTGCTACAGTATTTCAGAAGCAAGTTCAATTAAAACTTTCAGTGCTATAAACCTGTTTTCTCTGGGGGGGAAAAAAATAGCAGTGCTTTGGAGGAAAAAAAAGACCCAAGAACAAAATAACACAAAACCCAAAACACTACGTTTAGCCATAGTTACATTATTAAAAACAAAGGACACAAGCTTGAAAGGTCTTATTTCACCTACTTGTAGTCTCTTTCCCAGAATTTGACAGGCCTGGCATATGAAGTGATGAATATTGCACTTCCCAGAAAAGGATTCAATGGAGTAGAGAAGAAAGCTGACACAGCTGCTTGGACAAACAACATTGCAGAATCTGTTGGATAACTGAATTAAGGAAAGCAAAGCAACAACCACTTTTCAAGTTTCTGTGACTGTACCCAACAGAGAGCACCACCAATTAAGAGCAAAAAAGTCCTTAGAAGTATTATGCAGCCAAGTATCTTTAGTGCCTCCAGCAATAAGGTGACTGCTTTTAAAAACAGAAATAGTTGAAAATTTGGCACTAGACACAGTAATCATTCTCTTTCTCAAGATTCTACAGAAAACACAAACTCAACATTCCATTCAAACCAGCCTAGAGAAGCTTAAAATGCAGAACTCAAGAACTAAAACCACAGTCAGTGACTGCTGAAAAAGGGAATGACTGCCAAAAGAAAAATTGTGTCATTCTCAGAATGAAATAATTCCTGCTCCATGTTTATATCAGAGTTCTACTCTTGGTCCATCTACTACAGCATAATTTGCAGCATCTCGGCAAGGCAGACAGTGTGCAGTTTTTCATAAACACTCAGACAAACCTGTTCATTCAGTAGATTTAGCCCATAATGCATAGTCCATTAAAAAACAACATTTGGAAGTTATAAATACATGACTTGAGGAAAAGGTCCCCATTTTCAAAGGATACGTGGCACAGCAAAGGGCTGGGCAAAAGCATGGAAGGCAGATCCCCATGTGATCTGCCAGGGAGCAATGTAGGTATATACAAACCTCAATTTATAAAAGAGTAACCAAAGCTACAGGAAAAAAAAAAAAAATAAAAAAATTCAGTGAGTTGACTGAGAACACACTTTGCAGTACACAAGTAGCCTGAGGAATTTACTGGTCGCCCTAGAGTTCTTACTGGTCTACCAGAAGCCTTGAGACTTAAAAAAAGATGTAATAACAAAGCAAGTAAAATAGTAAAACAATGAAGTGCATAATAACAGGAACTCATGAAATGTTTCAGAAGTTATACGTGTCCTGAAGCACTTATGTTTGAGAAAGGAGAAGTCTTAGCTGTCTTATGGTATATTGATGACAGTACCAATAGGACTGACGATCTGGAGATTACCTATCAGTTAGAACTACCTGTTATCTGTTTTCCCTTTTGGATGACCTGAAACACCTAGAAATAGAGAGTTAAATTACCTTGCTGAAGAGTATGGACATGAAGAAGAGATCTAGCAGCATGGTCTCAGTAAAACTTTTGTAATCAAAAGTAAAGAAGAGCACTGTGAAAATAACAGTGACATACTGGCACGTTGGGCTACTGAATGATGAACGCAGTAACTTCAAGCCAGCTATTGTGATCATTAAAGCACCCAACCTGTATGAGAAATTCACACAAAACAGTTACTTATCTGCTGTCCAAAAGGGGTTTAAAGACCACATAAACAGTTGCTGTCATGCAATGCCAATCTCTTCAGGCTCAAGGTTTAGATTTAGGTTTGCTTTTGGACTACAGGAAAAAAAAAAAAAATTTTTGGGTTTTTTTTTTTTGTTTTTTTGTTTTTTTGGTTTTTTTTTTTTTTTTTTTTTTTTTGGTTGGTTGGTTTTTTTTGTTTTGGTTTTTTTAATGACAACTTCAGGTAATAACCTTTAAAAAAACCAATCTAAGTCTTTCCATCAGTATTCTTAAGCCAAACAATGTTCACGAATTAGCATTATTTGCAAGTCTTGCTTAGAAAAGAAAAAAAATCAGATGTGAAACATCCTTGTACTCTGAACAGAAACCTGGTCTTTAATTTAAGTGAACTGGAGAATTAAGATGAATATTGAGATGCAAAAAAGCTAGAAGTGCTCTAAGATTAATCAGTAAAAGGACAGAATGAACACTGGATTATCACCATTTCCTGCATGACTACACTGCTCCGGCTTATATGAAGGGAACCATAACTTAATGATAAACTTAATGATAGTCTTTTTCAGATCAAAGGGTTATAAAATAACAATGTAATAGCAACAGTCCTCCTAAAGGTCTTTTAGTGACAACAGTAATGAAACTCAAAGTAAAAACTTATTAGATCCAGAGATTATTAAACTTAAAAATACAACAACAAACCCACCCCCCCCAAAGTCCCATCCCATCCCTCAAATACATAGTCCATTTTATTTCAGATTTATTTTCTCTACAGCACTTCTGTTCTAAATCAATAGAACTTCAAATCCAAAAAAACAACCTGGTCACTGTTGTTGAAGACAAAAAATGCAGGGCCTATTACTGAACTCTCATTTGCTGAGACAGTCAGCTACACTGCTCGAGGGACTCTAAGGCTCAGTTTAAGAAGCAGAGTGCAATTCTGTCTCAATACAGATTATAATTTGGGGCTGGAAGGCCTAGGGAATTAATTCCTTGATGAGAGCAGAAAGCTGTAGAAGGGCTGCAAGCTGGCACATCAACTCAGACAATGTTAAAGACATCTTCCCTGACAAAATATCAGAATTTTCTTGCTGATCTTCAGAGTCTACAACATGACTATCTGAACTGCAAGTCTGAAGTAGTGACAATACATTCTGGTATCACACCACTAGATAGTTCTGAAGTCTTTACAGTACATGTTATGAATTGAATTGATTTATCTTTGTGTGGGTTCCTAGATTAACAATGTCATACTCCACTCAGTTTAAGTCTGCAAGGTGACTTGGTTCTATAAGAATTTTGAAATAACGAAAAAAACTTATTCTTTACCTTAGTTTTAAGGCAATGGCGTTAACTGCCTTCCCATCGAGGCCAGAACTCACCATTTGATTTCCCACCACATTAGACATACTGAAATTAGGCAACAGTCTTTTCTACTTACTCAGTATCCAGTTTCTTTGGGCTAGCAATATTCTTAGCGCTGCTACTAAGCTCATTGAGGACTATCAGTGGATAGATAACATTCTTCTCTACACAAAGGAGCCAAATGTGAAGTTTCTCAAACCACATAACGTGTGCAGCATCTGTCAAGATATTAACAAGAAGAAATAAGACTGTACTGTCAAATTCATCTCAGCTAACAGAAGATTCTTGATCCATGTAATTTGTGGAGACAAACACTACCTATATTCTCATATTGTGACTTTCAGTTTTAGCAACCAAAATAAAGAGAAGCTCGTTCTAAGCTTCTGTCCCTAGAAAGAGGAGTGTTTTGTACTGTTAAACTGTTAAACAGTTGTACTGTACATTTTGTACACAACAGCTTGCAACCTACTTGCTTACTACACAGGGCAGGAAGAACTGCACTGCCACCTCTTCAGTAATTTCAGTGTTCATACTGATGGAAGCTGTTTGACATTATACCTTTTATCCCATGCAAAAGGTTATTTTCCAACCATAGCTGACACAAATGATTTCTGGTTTACACCTCTACAACACAGAGTATATGTAACCTGCCAACACAAATATCTGATACTTAAGAACTTTTAGTAAACTTCTACAATAGTTGCAAAATATATAACAGGGTTTCTGTGTTTCAAATTAATGCAGATTAAGGTAAGGTAAAAACTTGTTTTACAAGGCAGTACAAATATAGGCTAGAAAAGCCTATGTCAGAAGTTCTGTTAAAAACTGTGCACACAAAGGATGCTGTTAAAATTACCACCCCTCTTCATTGTTACAAATGACTGCACAAGCCTAGATTAGCCCCAGCAAAAGCTGAAGCTCTGTTTCTACAACAGAAGCCACAAGGACAATTAGTCATTGACAAGGCATGAATTCTTTAATTTACAGAACTCAAACTGGGAGATGCTATAAACTTAAACCTAAAGGCAAAAACTGGACTTTCCCCTTCTTCCTCCAAATAGTTTGGCATCATGTAACAATTACTATTCATATTTATCCATCTTTACACTCAATCACTGAAAAAAGTCCACAATTTAGACACCAGTGTAAGACCACAGTGCATATCTGCTACAAAGGTAGGAAGTCTGCAAATCAGTTCTGGTAATTCCCTGTTCTTAGAGCAGCAGAATGCTCACTTCGTTTCACTGCTGTCTCACACCTTGAAAACTAACTGAAGAGAGTTAAAAAAAAAGCTTCAGTTGTTTCTAAGCAATTTTTGACAGAAATTTCTTAAGTCCGCTGTTAACAATAAAAGCATTCCAAGAGTGGAAACCCCATCATCTACCACTATAGTTATCCATACTGGGAAGCTGAGCAGTAGAACTAAATTCACATTTTCTGCAGCCTCCAGAGAAAGATTTCATGGAAACAAAGACTTAGCACAAGGTGAAAGTTAAGTGTCTATGGAAATCAACTAGCAAGACTGGTACCTAGGTGTGTTTTGCCATTTTCAGGCCACCTGCTCTACACTTTCTGTAGTTAAACATGTCAACAGCACCACTAAGAATCAAATCCATGACAAGATGAAATCTCTGACAGCATTCCCCATACCTAATCCTCTAAGATCTTTGAACATTTACTGTCTTGAAGAAACACCTAGTGAAACACTACCTTGATAAAAACTAATCAATTAGCAATCATTAGCACAAAATTTGCAACTTAAGATTTTTGAAGACTCCATTTTAACAGATCTACTCTGAGAATGTTAGCACATGAAATATATTACCATATAATTATACTATTAGGTAACACAAGTTATCAGCAGCTACAGTAAGTTGCCAAAAAGTGTCATGAATGATACTTACTTCGGACTTCAAACTGATAGTATTCCTTGGTTTTCAGCAGTGGGTGAGAAAAGCAATGCCAAGGAAGTTGCTTTCGGAGTTGAGGCAGAACATAATGGGTCACAAAGCCTACCGTACCCACCAATGCATAGAGGACATAACTTAAAATAGGCTAAAAAGAAGAAGAATTGAAGAAATTTAGGTTTGTGTTTTATAAACACTCATACACTAATTAATGTAATACCTTTTCCAGCATCTAGGCAGGTGCTCCTGCAATAGTAAGTTGGGAACAGATTTTGTCATAATTTGTATTACCAACTTTTAAGACTGAACAAGAAATGCTTGTGAATTAATCATTTCTAACCAATTTTCACTAAGTTGAGAAATATTTTTAGTAAGTACACCAATTTCCCTTTACAGTCCGTTGCTTCTGACCCATCTCCATTTCATTTTTTAAGTGGTAAAGCTATTATCCCCTAAAGGCTGAACCCAATTTACATTTTCATCAGCTGGATAAAAGGAGGTATAAGCATCAGGAAAAACAAATCATTAATCTTGTATTCTCTAGAGAAGAAGGTGAATAATAAGCCTCCCACCAAGACCAAAAGCTTTCACAGAAGTCACAGAATGTTACTCTATTAACATGGTATGAAGACTGGATTTCACAGTAATGCTTCCTATACTTTAACATTTCCTCTAAATTTCTAGATAAAATTAGGATTGTATTACTTTGTTATGAGCTCTGATCCAGGAATTCTGTGAAGCCTAAGCCTGTTGAGCTATACAACTGGTGATGAGCATACAGCCAAGTTTCTCAAACATGTGAGAAAACAACATCATGAAGGAGTGCTGAAGTCCAGCCATACAACAGAAGAGGTACTTTTCCTTAGGAAAAAAACTAGTACATTTGCTTAAGTAGGGCATTTTGCCTGAAAACTAGAAGCTACCTAAATGCAGACACTTTTTAAAAGTGGGAGGGCAAAATCCTTCAAAAATACATGCAGGAAACTTTCATTTACCTAACAGAAGGCTGTTCATAAGCTAACCAATGGTTCCATTACAGGAATGTCAAAATAAAAAAAAATCAATTAAGTTAAACTTTTTAGCCAAATGCTTTTACTTAAATTCAAGCACAAGATCTGGTCCCATGTCATCAAGTAGGATCATATGCACACATTAAAGTTGGGGTTTTCTAGCTGTCAGTCTAGCTAATATTACTGCTTCAGATATTTTAAGCTCCAAGGCTCTTGGAAGTCCTGTAAATAACCAGTTCAATAAAAATGCACCCCCCTCTACTATTGTCTACAAACAGCCATGCTAGCATGCACGTGCTGAGTGAACGTTCAGCCTCTTAATTTTTATGAATCAAACCTCCCAAACTTTTAACTGAGATGAAGGAAAAGAGGATGTTTTGTGTCAGAGACTAAAAATTTGCAATGTAAAAAGTAACAAGGAAGAATATTTTTTAATGATCTAGAACTGGAGTATGAAAAATCTTTGGTCACATGTTTGTCACACTATACTTAAAGACCATCTAAAACTAGTCAGAAGACCTAGTGCAATTGTTATATCACACTAGAGTATTTGGATATAGAAGACCAATGGCAAACACAATGGAACACCTTACCTGTAAAACTGTAAATACTGTACTGACATGAATTGCAAAATAGAGCACACCAATGACTATACACACGATCAGGTCAGACTGCAGTCGCTCACTCTAGGGAGTCAAAACAAAGTAATTTTAGAAAATGCCAGCTTTGGTTGTTCTCTTTGTATTCCTAATGCCCATCAGCAGTAGCATGGAAACTGATTATGATTTTCAAGTTACCAGAAATTTCACAAGAGAGATGTTGTAGCTAAGAGCCTTAGTTCTAAGAGTCCAGTTCTAGTAGCTAGGAGTTAAGTGGAAAGATGTATACCCAAAGTGAGGCAGGTGAAATTAATATACCAAATATATTCTCTCTTTTTCTGGACTGTGAGGGGATGTAATGAAAGAGCTGGAAAGGTCAACCAAATTTCACATGCATGATCTAAGAATTACTTGAACTATGGGGCAGTTAAGAGCTTTAGAAGACATCAACATCTGCCAAGACTGAGCTAAGGACCAGGCAGTATAGCCAGGCTCTTCAGCCTTTTTCCTTCCTCCTTTGCAGAAAGGTGAAGGGTGGGTTTGGAACAACCCTGTGGAATGAGTGTGAACTTTCCACTACCCTTAAAAAAAAAAAATTAAGACAAAACTGTTGATAATGGGCAAAAAAATATCAAAACAAGTAATGCCAGACTCAGTCACAAGGGGGCAATACACACTTAGGGCCACTACAACTCGAGGTCTTCAAGTTTAGATCTGCTCCCACCCTGTAAATACAGTGTTAATATTTACAGCCCAGAAAATCATTAAAGGATTAACTACTCCAAAATTGGCTAAATAATTACAGCAATTACTGCCTGAAGATCTTAACTACTTGGAATACAATTTCTTTTTTTAAATCACTAAGTCTGTTTTTTCAAAAAAGCAAAATATGTGCTAAAGTAAATGGAATAAGTCACTTAATAAGTCTGCTTTTTTTAAAAAACAAACAAACAAAAAACACCTAAGAAAAACCAACCACAAAAACCCCACACTACTTTCCATTCTTTTTATTTTCTGCTTCTGGAACAGTGAACAGAACTCTTGTTCACTGCTAATAAAAAATGAGTTAATATATTTCTGCCACCATTAACTCCTTTCCAATAACTTCTACACAAAAGTATCAATTATTAGTATTAATGTGAGCTAGAAGAAAATCCTCAGTCATACTTCACTCAATTCAGACTAGGGAATTCCAATTCTCTCATGTGCCTCCTTTTAAATAACTTCAGTTGCAATACAAGCATTATACTCCTAGTGTAGCACGTGTTCATCTGCAGAGCTAGAAGAAATGCTCTCATATCTGTTCTGATCAACACCATAGTAACAAGTGTTGTGAGCTGAGTAAGAGCCACATTGATGCTATACCAAAAGTAAATGCTTAAATTGAATTATTGTAATTTTAAAAAAAACTTACCACAGAATTTCTAAGCTTCTCAGGTAAAGGATCTTTGACTTCAGACAGAGGATCCTCAGGGTTTTTGTCTTCAGAATTAGGAAAAAATTTTGATTGCACTAAAGAGCTTAAAGACAAAAAAAGAAACCACTGAAAGGCATGTATTGTTCTATGTGGTCTTAAAATAAAGTCAGAAGTTCCATTATAAGTTGATTACAAGAAAGAATTTATCTTGCCATGTTAGTGCTTTCACATTGCTGAGCAAATTTCCAAAAGATGAGATCTCAAGTCTGTAAAGGAATTAGTTCTCTGGTTGCATACAATGCCCACTATTAAAGATAAGCTGCCAGATGTTGTTCAAAGAGCAGTTTCTCCAGTACCAACAGGAGTAACTGAACAAACAGTGAATTTTAAGTGGAGTTCTTAGTACTCATGAAACTAAATTTTACTTCATAAATAACTGAACAGAAGTGTGACTTGGTGCAATGTGGTCTATTTGTCAACATTGACTAGAAAACCAAGATTTTCTTGGTCTACTTCAAGCTTCAACTGTAACAACAACAACAAAAAAAAAACCTGTACTGCCATGATTCATTAATGAATTAGCCATGCTGACCAAACTACTAAATTCACAGCAGACCTTGCTGGTACTAAAGCCTAAAATAGTTATAGCTAAGCTTTTAGAAGACCACATGCAGCACAGCTAGCCATACCTAAGCATCTCACAAACCCCTTAATTGAGTGACTTTTTGTACAATACCCTATGTGGCACAGAAATAGGCACTGTTTCATTTTATGGACAGGAAGCTCACTATAGAATGAGCCCTACATCTTCAAAGGCAATTACATATTGAAATAAAATTCATTGATTAACTGTGCCACATCTGGCTGAAGAGGTGAATGTGCAGGTCAAACAAGCAGGCTTCAGTACTTGGAAAGAACAAAAAGACAGGTAACTAGGGAGAAGGACCTCATACCAACAGGGTAAAGTTACCTGAACTAAGAGTAACAGGACAAGGTTTAGTTGTCAACCCAAAGATAAATTCTTCCTTCTGTGTGAACACTCATGAATCATTAATCTTCCTGCTCACAGAAGGGGCCCCTCGCTATCTACCCCAGACTATTGCTTATCAAATTCATCCAACATTATGGCTAAATTTAAATCCAAGTTCAAGCTCTGCCTAACCCAGGTATGTGGACTGAGCCTCTATTGGCTATTCTATGGGAGGTGTTTCTCCTACTCGAACTACTTTGTTTTACACAGGTAATTATTAACTGAATCAGAAATAATCTCATTATCAGATCAATACTCCAACTTACAATAACACCATGAATGAATGTTTCCCCATGCTAGATGGGAACACTCATTGCCAAAACTACTGAACCAATACCATACTATTTTTGATAATGCTCTTGATTATCATTCAAACAGTACTAATATTGAACATTATTAAATAAAGTTCCCTTGCAACTTGCTTCTTCCTTAGGGAACAGACACAAGCTGAGTCACTTACAAAAGCACAGAAGGGTCACTACTTTGTCTGCTGAGATGATACGATATTGCCACTAACAAACCACAAAATATGGAGAAGAGAACTGGAATATGCTGCCCATCCCAAGAATCCTGGAAACAGAAATGAAATGTTAATAAAAAAAAGACAAAGTATGTAACACTTATCTAATACAAAAGAATTATGTATATCCTAGTAAGAGAAAGGAGAAAGTAAGTACAATTCCACAAAAATTAAACAGGACTTACAGTATAAAAATATTGTTCAGTATTTACCTATGTCTAACTGTAAATGAGAAACTCTAAACAGTGTACACCCCTTAAGCCTCCACCATCTTAATCACTCAGTCATCAGTTTTCATAACCCTTATGAAGAATTTCCTGCATTCCTTGAGAAGCCAGGTTCCTGGGAGTCGCATTTAGTCACTTCTTAATTTTGAAAGTAAAGTATGTTTTTACTCAGATTTGGCTTTTTCTAATATGCTGACTTCAGATTAAACCCGTGGTTTTATTTTTGTTTTCATGATCTGTGATTCTTTGCTAAAGCTTGTTTATCTTGAACAGATGTTTTTACCAAAGGCAAATGAGACCAATGTACAAATTCACAGAAAGCTAATGATGTTCTGTGGGTGATGGCATCATGGGAGTATTTCCTTTAGCAACTTTTTACTCTGGGACAGGATGGTAAAAAAAAACAGTTAGCTCTTGAGTTGGAAGGCACACATAACACAATTAATTGCAGACACAGGATTTGATTGACACACCTGAATCCAACAAGCAGAACCAACACCCCAACTGTTTTCAAATAAAATGTCATTTCCAGTAAGGAAAAGCTGTTGGTTTTGGAGGAGGTTTTCTCCTCCTCCCTTTGCCAGTAAACTCCTACCTTTTTAGATAGGCACATATCTTCACTTTCACACTACAAACTATTTCCTGGTTTCTTTTCAAGTACAGATTAATTTGAAAAGACTATTTCTGGTTTGCAGCACTGTAAAAATACTCCCATGAACCATTCTGAGAGATCAAACCCATACATGGAGGCTGTGCCAGAAGCAAGCCACCTACACAATTTTTTCCAAGAATCAATGTAGAATGGACTGGACTGTAAGGGTCACATCTTTTAAGCCAAAAAAATAGCCTTTTAGCGGAGGCACAAATTATACACTTTTTAAGGCAAAAAATCTGCTTTGTTCCTGCATTGTATCTTCTTTATTGACATCACAGCTGAGCAAGTATAGAACCCCACACCAAATCAGATTAATGCTTCTAATTCACTTTCTGCATATTTAAATATCTAAGAAACAAGGAAGCAGAGAATAAAACCAAAACATCAATGTATGTTGTGTCTCAAATTTTGCTCACCTTCAGGGCACCATAGCACAGTCCATACAACAATGCTACTGCCACAATACTACAGATAAAACTGTAAAGTGCTGCAAGCAGGCTTGTGGTAGCTGAGTATCATAGAAAAGAAAGAAAAAATTAAACAATGTCATATAATTTGATTAGAATAAGAAAGTACTTCATATTAAGGAAGGTACCAGACCACTAGTTGCAACACCCCTCTATTAAAAAAAAAACACCTGCATCAACTACTTGTATTTTCCCCTACAAATTTTTTTTAAAAGCAATTTCTGTGGTTCTATTCACCTCCCTACTTATTCAACAGCATTACCATGGGAATGGCTGAAAACTGCACCAGAAATCGGTTGAGAAAGAAAGATACTTTTTGACAGATTTACTAGGACGGAAATTCTATTTCCCAGTAATTAATCAGAAGACATTTAGCCTTTCTAAAAAAAAACAGTGTCCTATGTTTATAATGCAGGGATTTAAATAGTGCCATCACTGAACTTTTTACAACAGCCTACTAACTGGATGGCTGCTCCTAGTCTGATACTCTTGACGCTGACAAAAATAAAGTCCCAACACTTACCATTGCCACCAAAAACATGAATATCCAGCTGTTCACAGAGATACATCACAAATGTATTCACTTGAGGCAGAAGACCAATGAAGAACACTATAGGGAAACATAGTGTAAACACTACAGAAAAAAAAAGAAAGTTGAAAAAGCAGTGAATATGAGAAATACAGTACAGTAACATACTCTTTAGTCTGTGTTCTAGGGTATCACACACATCATTTAACTCAACATCACTGAAGTATTTCTACTATTGTTTCTGAGGAAAACATCCATTATGTAAATCTCAACTTCAGTGACTCAGAACTGACTGAATACATAGTATGGTTCTACACAGACCAGTCAGAAGACTTCTTGTACTTCAGTTTTAGTTGCTGTAGAAATGGACACAGGCCAATTCAGGCTTTCCATTTTTATTTAGCAAAGACCAGCCAAGAGTGTTTACAGATTAGGAGATTTCTAAGTTTTCACTCCTTGTAAATGAGGCTTATCCGAGCCTGTCTGGAGTTACAGGAGCAAGTAACACCAGCCACACTGACGTAAGAGAGGCCAAGCATTTCACCTCTGGGTGTTCTGCCACTAATAACATCTGACAATTTTACTCATTTTCCCACACCACTTCTGAGAAGTTCTGATCCTAAATGACTTGACTATTTTTAAAATTAAAATTACTAACTGTATGAATGACTAAAACTTCTGCAAGTTACAGGACTTAAGAATGCCAAGATAAACAAATGTCACTTAATTTTAATAGAGAATGGTACGTCCCAATGTGCACATAACATTTACATTCTATCTTAAGGAATAAAAGATTCTGAAATAGCAGTCTTTTACACAACTGTTCAGTAGTTCAGATACAATTCACAAGCAGCAGCCTAACACAAGTTCTAGGTTCTGAGGGAGAGAAAACTCAACCCATGAAAATAACCCTAGCAGAAAATCTGACAGTTTAGAGAGTATTGAAAACAATTACAAAATACAAATTGTATATTCCCAGATCTAAAGAGTAGTGAAGCAAAAAGGCAACATTTCTAATGGCTTTAAGTCTGTAACAGAATGACTGTCTAATGGGGACCATCTAGGTTAAAACTGAAAATAATTGTTATACATGTGCAGCAGATTTAGACCAGCTGATCAAGTCCACTACATAGGGCAGAAAAATTAAAAAAAAAAAAGTATCAGTCCTCACAGGTCTGTTGGCAAGGACACAGCAATTATGTTATCTAAAGAAAGTTTGCCTTGCCCTGCACCTGTGTTGTTCCAGTATCTATGCCTGGGAATGGGAAAAAAATAGCAGCTGAGATTTTTCCTTTGTGCTAACAAAGTGTGTTTGTGAGAGGCCGACTTGCTTGGCAATACAAAGAGCTTTTTGAAACAGTGTTCCAGCAACATTAAAAGCTGCTCCAAAGGCCAGGGTGTGCATGTGTGAGGGGGCAGCAGGGGGAGGTTTTTATGTTGGTTTATTTTCTTTAAAAAGTGCGAGCTGTTCTGTCGATCTGATTTCTTATTGGTAGAACTGCTAAGAAATAGAAACTACATAAGCTGGTGTGAGACACCTGAGAAGAGGAAAAACAATGATCAAAAAGTGTTCAGAATTCTTGAACTAAGAAGTTTAACAGCTAATCCCAAAATGGACACAGCCTAGAGAAGATGACAGCACATCTTTTTAAAACTGGAAAAGATTAAGTACTTTTAAAAAGTAGGTTGCTTTCACAATGCAACATACCACCTCCATAAGCATTTATGGATTACTCTGGGGGATATGTGTGCACCTTATGGCAATGACTCAAGGTAAGAAAAGACTTCCAAAATTGGCAGGGCATAAACAAGGTGAAAGGAAGCTAGTTTTGTATCCTGCATGACTCAAAAGTATCTGCTGTCCTAACTTCTTTTTCCATCACAGACACAGAATGAAGTATGCCAGTGCATGAGTACAGCCATAGGATCTGTAGAAAGGCATCTCTGGAAATGCCTGGACAATACTCTGTTCATAAATAAGTGGCTTGGGCCTCCCTCCCACTGGTCATTTAGATTTAAATAAAACATTTACTAGCAGGAAGTCAAAAAAGTAAACAGTATGAAATGTTAAATTCAGGATGTTTCTTAAAATCCAATAAAACCTAATTCCAAAAATGCACAAATCAGTAATAAAGTCAAATCCAAAATAAAATTTAGAAAAGGAATCAAAATGAAGACCAATTTTTTTTATTTTTACTTGGACAGAAGACTGCCCAAGAACTGGAGGCATGCAGTCATAACATTTAATTGCTGTAGTCTTTCATGCACAAATATTTTGGTACAAGTTAAAAGCAAGTGTGTTCAATTTAGGTGAATTCCTACAGATTTTCTTCTCCCTTCAAAGAGGCAATTTAGAGAAGATCATCCAAATAACTTTGCTCCATTAAAGAATATGCAAGGAGTTCCCATAATAAAGTAGCCTTTGAATATTCTCTCCTTTCTGTGGGCTCTGCCTGACATTATATAGTTGTTACTGTTTTCAATAAATTTTCTAAGTAAACAGAGGAAAGGTTTGCTGTTTCTCAGGGGTTGCTTTGTTTGGGGGTGCTTTTATTTGATTTTTTTTTTGGGGGGGGAAAGTGTATGTTAAATGCCAACAACATAGTGAATGCACAGTGCTGCTCTGAATACAATGAAAGTACCTCATACAGCTCAAAATTATATTTTTTCTATTGTTAATAAGGCTGTTTTGAGAGGAGACATTAAATAAGATTTAATCTGTCTATAATGTTCTTAAAAATTGTGACTGTACTGTTCTACCTAATTACTAGACACTGATAACCTGATTTAAAAGAACTCCTACTTATTTGCCACAAGTCTCTCTAGAAGAGAGTCCAAATCAAAATGTTTAACTACTGAGTATCTAGGTCCAAGCACAGGTCAGCATGTTGAAGCCCAAGTTAAGAAGAAAGAACAGAAGGCTCAGGGATCAGGACCAAGATACTAGGTAATTAAAAAGATAAATTTTTTTTTTTTTCTTATGACACTACAGTAGTTGATATCTCTGCAGTTTGTTACAACAAAGTTAAAGAGAAGGAGAAATTTTGCCATAAATTTCAGGAAAGCTAAAACTACTCTTTCCAAAGAAAACTAAATGAACTGTATTTAGAAGGTAATGTTGCAACAGTGTCATAAGATGCAGAGTGGAAAAAAAGTCTTCTACTGTGATGAAGCAAACCATTCAAATCCATAAAAAAAAAAAAAAAAAATAAAATTACTCACCTATAACTAAGTCCCTGGCTGACAGCAGCAGCAATGGGTTGGTGAAAGCCATTCCATACAACCTGAATCTTGTTGTAGATATGTTTCTGCTGCCATAATCCAACAGCCAAATAAGACCACAACATAAACAGAAATATACAGGCCTACTATAGGCTATGATACGATTATGACCCTGTTTTAAACAGAAAGAGCAACAAAAACACATTATTAGCAGAAAAAGCACTTGTTGCTGTTCTGTTACAGATAATTTCAGAACCAAAATTAATCGTCGTTCATTAATTCATGTCCTGTCACCTCAGCACATCCTTAAGTTTTGTTCATAAAATCCTTGATGCAATGCCTTGCAGTGATAGGTCTTTTTTTTGTGGCTTTGATAACACAACTGTTAAGATCAGGTTACACTAAGCTGTACTTATCCTGATCCTCCACTAAGTTTTAAAGTATGTTTCTTGCAATACTAAATGTCAGAGACACTCTGGCTAGGCTTCATAAGCAAGAGAAGATATATTAATTTTGATGAAAAATCAATTAGTTTATTACTCAGATACTGCTCCTACTGGAAAAAAAAAAACTGTATTTGCATGTTCAGTAAAACATACAATTTATTACTTAAAATGATGTGAATTACTTGATTCAGAAGAAAAATGCTTTCTCGTATCTTATTTAGGACATAAAAATATTTTGTCTTGGCAAGCTAGCAGATGCATAGTAGAACAAACATATTGTGCAACAGGAGCACATGAGCATTTCCATGCTCAAATGTTAATGCTCATTAGAGCATTGCATGCTCAGCTTAAGAGGGAGGAAAAAAAAAGCCTGTGTGCATCCTAGGACAACTGACTGATCTACAAGACCAGAATAGACCATCAAAGCCGTGTCAGTTCATACCAGCATAGCAAATTACAACATTAAAAATACTTTTCAGTAGACTTACTGGAATACTAAATAGTCATCAAAAAAAAACTTAGGATGTGGCTCTATAGCAACAGTTAGTCTTAGAAGAGGGAGGACATGAACTGCTAAATATGAACAATGCATAGGAGGGCAAATAGTACCAGTTCCCTTCTCACACATTAATACAACATAAACCTCCTGTGCCTTATAAGGTGGTACATAAGAGATATATCCAAAAAGATAAAACCAAAAAGATCAGTTCTCTGTGGGTGTTCTACATCTGCAGGGTTGGCACAGTGGCATGTGTCCATGACTTACGTGTCGGGGGGAAGAAGAATCTGGTTGAACGCTCTGAAATCAAGATGGAAAGAGGAAAGTTACCAAGTCTACAGGTAAGTGTGTTTACCTCTCCCCCACCTCCTCCTTGATTCAAGTTCTCTTCATATCTACAATCAACTTTTTAACTGTCAAGCCACTCTACAGCCTTTAAAGAGCACAATGTATGAAACCATAAAATTGCTTCAAAGAGTAGATGTGTGTAGCCAGAGTTTTAAAAAACAAAACATCTCATTTTCAGAAATTCTGCTTTGTTCGATTCAAGTTCTCTTCATATCTACAATCAACTTTTTAACTGTCAAGCCACTCTACAGCCTTTAAAGAGCACAATGTATGAAACCATAAAATTGCTTCAAAGAGCAGATGTGTGTAGCCAAAGTTTTAAAAAACAAAACATTTTCAGAAATTCTGCTTTGTTTAAAAAAAAAAAAACCAAACGAAATGCACTTTAATTTTAAATCTAGTTTCCACCCTGATGCTTTAGCCATAAGGAAATCATTCTTAAATTAAAAATATCATTAACATTTATCTAACGGAAACTGAGACTCTGCTTTAAAATATGCTTAGATATAACTGCTTAATATGAATATATTAAGTTGCATCCACTAAAAGAAAAAAAACCACTTCAGGTTTAGTTTGTGGGCTGTTCTCAGCAAGAACGAATGTGCTTTTTGGGGAAACAAAGTACATGAGAACAACAAATAAAGGACTATTTAACAACTGTATGCAGAGCCATTCTAGTGAAGTGACCTTGTACCGCCATCTATCAAACTTTCCACCAAGCTGAAGTTTACTCATTCCTTTTTAAACAATAAACATGCAATCTCGTCCTTAAAGCTCTAACCAACTTGCAACACCCACCTAAAGCTATTTCTATTGTTTATAAAAAGTGAAGATAGAAATTAAAATACCTTCAACAGCGAGTACTGACAACTGGCTATTACCAGGCAGAACTGGAAGACCCAAATATCCTTGAAAAAGCCCTCTATAAGAAGTACAGAGCCCAGAAATGCAACTAGAATAGCTAGGATGACAGCTAAGACGTTTTCAAGGATCTCACGATTCCTGGGAGAGAAAAAAGAAAAGAAAGAGAGACCAAATTTAGAGCTTAACTGTCTAGTAAAAGCTGCAAAGGAATAGCTGAGGTCAGAAATCAACAAGAATTATGGTACTGGTAGCAAAGTGGCTAAGAATAGATTTCAGCTTGCATAGACCATAGTAGTACACTGGCTTTCAGCAAAGCCAGAAGCTACCAGGATTTCAGTGATAGCTGAAAGCAATTATCATCTTCTGGAACTGAACTTTAAACAGCAGAAGATAACTTCAGCAATAATCCAAATACTCAACCAAAGGCATGTTCTGTAACAAGTCTATATTTAAGGTCCACGAAGGATGATTACAAGCCTGTGAAAAATATATGCATGATAGCTTATCTGTATGTAATCTGTCATTCCTGATTTTGTAATGAAGGGACTAAAAACACTCTTGCTTGTCTAAGTTTGGCCAAGTGGAATAAAAAGAATTCTGTAACAGGAACAGAATTAATAGCATTTCTGCTTGGACAGAATAACTACCATGTTGTTTATCTCAAGGAAGCTCATTACCAAAACTCAAATACTCTATATATTCCAAATGCTGGTAACTGGAGGGTCACCCTTCTTTTATTCCACTAGGTAAATGCAGAAGGGACAACAGGTTACAGTATGAGATAACCCTTTGGAAAAATACTTTGCAACAGCAGTTAAGTTCTCTCTACCTCCTGAAATAATCTAAGTGTATGAGAGGTTCCAGACTCTTTCAATTATTTTTTGGAGGTCATTTTCTAGCTCTAAAGATTAGCAACAACTCTTTTTGACCATGCAAATATGTTATCACCCCACTCACAAAATGAGGCATTGTTTTCTCCTCTTTTGAGCACTGCTGGAGAAAAATGGAGAGTACCCTCCATTACTTTAGAGGAACTGGATTTTGGATTATTCTTTCAACTTTCACAGTACAGTAAATAAGTAAAGTTCTGTAAGGATCACTCTAATTACTCACAGTTTAGTTACTATTTTTACATCTTTAAAGTGTTGTAACATACAAGGATCTCACCTATCAAATAAAGCCAGAAGAGTTAATCTATCAAAACTGATGCTAATCCAAAGCTTGGGCAGGATCCAAAAGCGATAGTACTGCTTGACTTTTTGAGCTGCTTCCTCTTGAGGTTGCATGTGGTCCTGAAGGTCAGGGCTCAGGTCAATATCTTGCTGCTCCAGCAGATCCGTGTCCATGGTTAGCAGCCTGTTCAACCTGATCTGAGGAAGAGAAAGCTAAAAGAAAGTCAGTATTAACAAAAGATCATTTTTATTATACCACTATATTCTACTGAAAAGTGCTTTGGTGTAAATGGATACAATTATTTACTTTCACTTTTGAGAACTTGTATGTTAAACAGTGTCAGTTCTCAGGCTTCTGCTTTTCCTGTCATGGCAAATAAATAGCACCAGCTTTAATATTAGTTTGCACACAGCACAACAGTTTGGTATTTTAGCATATGCCTTATTTCAAAGGTCTTCTGAGAACATTATCCCATTTGCTCTGAAAACTTCAAATTTGAAGACAAGTAAACTGATACACTAACAGGGCTAATGTATGCTACAAGAATAATCCAATCCTGAACTTAAATAATATCCCACACATTTCTTCCAAGCAGCTAATCTGCATGCACACTCATGCCAAATGGTTGGGTTTGCATGACAAAGCAACATATGCGTGCATCAGTCCTCAAATTCTAACTCACTACATTCCAAATACACTCATAAGCAAGCTAAAGAAAAGCCTTCCCTTAACTAGTCAAGCACTACTTACAACTGACTGTATTTCTCACTTATTTTGTACTCTGTCACTCTACAGTTCCCTTGAAATCACAGTAATACCAACAACCATAAAAAGCAGTTAAGGAGAGTTCTCAGAAGATTACAAAGTTACTGTAGGATGTATGTGTTGTCTAACCCACTTTATAAATTTAATTAACAGGCCAAGAAACATCTAAATGCACTGCTCTTTAAACAGTATTATTAAAATGTCATTTAATGAAAAATCTTCACAATCTTTTAAGTCAAAGAATAAAATTTAAGTACTCATGTCATCTTTAAGTGTCAAAATGTAAGGCTTTTGTGGTTGGGTTTTTTGGTGGGGCTAGGTGGTACTTAACCCTAAAGCTTAACACTTGATTTCTCTCTTTTTGAAAGTTGTTTTCATGCTTCCTTAAAGCATCACTGTACTGTAACTACGCTCAGCCAGGTTTTCCTTCCCAGAAAAATATTAATAAAAACAACAAGCAGGAACACTACCTTTCTAAAGACTTAATAAAAATACAAAGCCCACTAAGATAGGCTGTGTCAGAAAACAGATGTTCTTATAACAATTTTTTTAAAAACCTTTTTTCTTATAAGGTAGACACACCATGAATCTATCATTAATGTTAAGTTGAATTGTCCCTTTAGGCACACTTGCCAAGATTTTACAAATGTGTTTGCCTTAAATGGAACCATTCCCTCCAGCAGGACCACTGTGGCCAATCAACAGCACAGATAACACAGTCTCTTTTTTAAAGGCTGCATTTTCGAGGGGAGCGGTGGAGCACAAAGCAAGTTCCTCTAGCAGATACCATGTTTGAAGAGCACACTCCTGATCCAAGGCATGGTCAGGTAAAGGGAAGTCTCTTGCTCCTCTGCCAAATGTTGAATACGTATCTCATTTTCCCCTCTTGATTAGGTCATTAGGTCCTTCACTACACTTTACTTTGGTTTCCTAGCTTAAGAATCAACCTTCAGAATCGTGGCCATCTGCACTGCTTCATGACACAGCAATACAAGACTAGAGGATTACGAGTACAGAGATATCTGGATTTAACAGCAATCTAAAAGGCTTGAGATCACAAAACTATGTAATTCTAAAGCTATTTATGGTATGAAACAGTGTAAGCATCTGCCTTTTTTTCCCCCAGTCACTCCTTGCATATGAATTGAAATGTTAGACAGCAGATTCCAATGACAAGTTTTTAAATCCCTTTCAAGGGAACTACTGAAGTTTCTCTTTGTCAGAACATGAAATTTATTCTTTCTGCTGCCTCATAACGCACAGAGGGAGAAATTCTGTCTGAGTTGTCCAGTCACCTCCAGAAACCTTTACACAGCATCTCAGAACATCCAATTTCCATGTGATTTAGAAAATCATTATGCTTTAGATCAGAGCAAACCACTTATGTTGAAATTTTTAAGTGCTACACAAAAAGATGAATTTGTATATATACACAAAGACATTGCAACAATATATAAGTATTTTATCTTCATTTAAACCCAAAGGAAAAGTCCAAAGCAAAGAGCTACCCCATAGGATGATTAATCAGTGCTATAAAATTGGAAAGTGTTCTGATTTTTTGCATGCTTTAAAAACAAATAAGACAGACTTACTAGATCATGTGGATAAAAGCGAACTGAGGTAGAACTCGATACGTGAGAGTCCGTGTCACTATAAGAACAGGGGAAAGACTTTATATTATAAATTATCATTTCAACAGGCTGCTCTGATTTTCTAGTGTCCCAAACTAATTTTGACTCCTTGCAAGTTTTATCTAAAAATAATCTTTTAAGGTTTTTCCTTTGATCATGTATTTTAAATACAAATATCCACTTAGTAGTGTGTATTTCCATAAATTCTGCAGCTATAGTAAATGAGATTTTTTACCCTCGCCCTCGGTATAACTTTTTTCAACACCTAGTCCCTAAATTGTCTAAACAAGGATTACTATAGTAGTTATTCCACCTGAAAAAACCAAGACTTTTATAAGCTGTTAGCTACTGATGTGTAAATACCCATCACATCTCTAAAGGAGTGCAGAGTCCACTGTGTGTTCAGAGTTTGTTAATTGTATACTGTTTTTACCAAGGTCCCCAAAGTGCCAAAAATAGTACATATTTACCACAAGTATATTGAGTTACTTAAATTGCTTTTGAAAAACTTCATTTCAAATAAACTTAACCCTCTGCTAAGAAGAGCAAAATTACTTTGCAATTTCCATTCATTAGATATGAGGAGAAATTTCTCTTACTGTATGAGAGTCCATATCCAACCACTGCTTTTTCCCCAATTTTGGATAGCTTTTGGATGTTTGTTTTCTATGTAAATCACATGGCTGTAAGACTTGTATCAAATTTATGCAACTTTCCTTCAGTTCCTTGCCTTAAGATAAAAACATTCTTTGTTATTAATTTTACTTCACTGAAACCCAAGTATTCTCTAAAGCTGAGATCTGATGATTTGGGTGTGGCCAGCTTGTTCCTTCCATTAGCACATAAAACTTCTTAAGAGCAGCCATCAGCAAAGCCATTGCATCTGGAACATGCAAGCAGTAGAGGCAGGCATCTGCAGCTTTGTGCAAGGAATACAGAACTTCTTGTCAAAGTTCAGCTCTACAAAAGGCACTTGCACACTTTTACAAGGAAGATCTGAAGATGGGAGCTTTTCTGTCCATTACTCTGTAAATCCAAGAGCTATTCCAGCTACACGTGGTGGGAATTTGTAGCATTCGGCATGATGCAATAGCTTCAGAGCAGTTCTATGTAATGAAGTGGACTGAGGGGGGTAAGGGAGGTTTTGGGTGGTTCTTTTTTCTGCCTCCCATTCCTTCAGAGAAAGAAAGGGCATCTTTCCAACAGCAGATGAACTTTCCAGTATGTAGCTGGCTATTTCAGCTCTAAGTCAAATTTTAATCTCAGGCATGTTAACACTTCCACGTATTGTTTCATGCCATCTATGAACTTGAGAAAAAAAATTTATCAGTTTACATTTGCTTCACAATTGGAAGTTCATTTTTAAGTTAACTAATAGGCATCATGGTCAACAGCCACCTACTTTCCCAAAACCTAGATTAAGTTCTTTAAGAAAGGCTTTTGATAAGCCAACCAAAAATGCAACTGCTGAATCCTCAAGTCTGCATATTTATTACTTAAGCTAATAGTATTCTTAATATTCTGAGATTTAAGTGGAGAAGATTATTTATGCAGTTAGTGTCATCTTCTAACAATCACTTAGGTTTCAAAAGTAAAAGTATAAAGATAATATTTGATATTTATTTTTTTGTACTACATACTAAATAACCTATTAAAACTAAAATCAAAGACTTTGTTGCAGCAAGACAAGAATCATCACTCTTGACTGGCCTTCACACACACCAGATGTTGGATGCTCTTCTTGCAGCTGGCTCAAAGTTCACAAGTGACATCTCGCAGCCCCCTGTCTCGTAGAGCGTAGAACTGAACTTACCTATTAAAGAGAAGGTCGAAAGCTGGTCAAAATTACATCATGTTTCATCCCACTGGCACTAGTTCCTATTCATTAACTTACTGCTGAGATCAATTTAGACATCTAGATTTACATCAGTGTCAAAATATAAAATGACTACACATTAACGTGTCACCAGACAAGACATTAGCTACTCAGACCTCGTTCATACCATTTTATATGACATGTATACAGTAAATAGCAATACCAAATTAAACTTTAATAGTTTGTATTTACAAGATGTCACTGTTAACACAACAGAAGTACAATGTAAGCCTCCCCCCTTTAAAGAATAACCAGGCAAACAACTTGCAATGCCAGCTCCTTCAGCTCTTTCCCACCCCCAGCAGAACAATCCGTAAATCATTTGCAATCAGCATTTAAGACTCATTTCATTCAGCTAAGGCAGAGATTCCTCCAGTGTCCTGCATAAAATGCTTTTGCAAGGCACGTGTCTATTTGAAAAGAAACACAAAGAGTAAAAGAAGGGGCCAGAGATGCTTCATAAATTCTACCTCTAGAAAAACTAAGAAAGGAATGACAGGCAGAGATTTATTCTACAAGCCAGAAACAAATGCTTCAGTGTAAGAACAGAAGACTGCAAACTGACTTCTCAGACAAGCCATTTGGAGTTACTGGAACTCTACAACCACAATTTCCTAAAGCTATTAAAACTTTCTGAATTAACAATTTAGCTATTGCTAAATATATAATAAACAGAAAGTAGCTGGAATCTGTATCTCCACTGATAAGTCACATTACTCACAATATGATGTTTCTACAGTGCCTTCTCCCACAATAGGCTGTCAGAGACAAGTGCTGTCATTTCCCCTGAAGGCCAGGCTCAATATATTGCACCTCTGAATGCAGGAAGCTGATTCTGAAATTGTGACCTCATATCAAGTGTTCTGCCAACTTCTCCATCTCTTCTACCTTCAAAACCACACTATGATCCTGCTCCAAATTCTCTTCGGAGTTACAGACACTAAAGTCCAATTTAGAAGTGTTTGAAAGAAAGAAGTTTAATCTCAAACTGGATGACTAAAATCAGTGAAACTAAGGAAAAAAAACTGGTATATTGAAGAATATCTTCATGAAGCTGTCTACCCTCAGAGGGGGCACTTCAGACCAACTAGACACATACCACAGCCGTGCTAAGACCAAAAATTCCAACCAGAGTCAGCTACATAGTTCAGGAGTCACGTACAGCGTGCGTCAGAGCTCAGTAACCTAACAGCTCTCTCTCAATATTTAATTACATCTGCTATAGGTATTTGTAAGGAAGTAGAAGTAGCAAGTTCACTTGTTAGGGTTTTTTTCCTCAATAATTAAGATTTTAATGAAGTGCTTGCTTTAAAGGTATTTCAGTTTTTAATGCATAGTGTAGTAAACAGTTGTGACCAAAGTTTAAACTTTAAACTAGTGGAAGACACCAGTAATCTTTCTCCTCATTGCTAATAAATAACCTTAGTTACACAGGTCTATTTCTTAACTGCATCAGTAAAAGAAAAGGCCTCCAACAGCAAACACGAAGGTATTAGATAATACACTTCAGGTCCCAGCCAGGATAAAATTATGCCTGACTTATGGAAAAATATTCCAGGCAGCAAGTCCTTAAGAGACAAGGAAGTTTGGGTTAAATTCATGGTTTTGCACTACTGAATGGAAAGCCTGGAAATTAAACTTTCCAAATTTTAAGTTAATGAAAATCAATTTACAGAAATTGTAATATACTACTTGCAAGATAGATCTGATGTATTATCTCAGCCCAAGAAAATAGGAAGTTGTATTTGTTTCAAAAGAAGTTAACTAAATGTGCACACTCATGTGGAATGTCTGAAAAGGGCCTTAATGACAAAAAAGCATAGAACACTACACATTAGAAAAATCATAAAAATCTACAGTTCCTTCACATTTAACTCATCTTAGAATTTGTCAAATTTTAGTGCATTTGTAGTGCTGCTACACTGCATGGCTGTAGTGGGGTAAAACCTAGCTAGCAGACAGAAAAACAGGCAGAACATTTAGCTCCAATTATCCACACACAGACTACAAAGCAGACTCAGGTTGTCATACCTGCAGTTCAACCCCCTTCTTACATGGGCTTCCTAAGGAAAGTTAGGGCTCTGGCAAGAAAAGCATGGCTGCTCAATGGAACACAGTTGCCTGCACCCATATTTGCTTTTCTTTTGTTTATTTTGCTGTTGAGTTTTTTTGTTTTGTTTTGAATCAAAAGGCTCTCCAAAAAAGCCTCAACTTATCTGAAGTAGAAGAGACGACAGGACTGTTCAGTGCTGTTGAGGATGCAAACTAAGGTATGACTGAAGTATCTACACCTGAGCTCCAAAATCCCACCAATTCAATACTTTTTCAATTGTGTGGATTCACAGCAGCTTCCTTACAGCACTCTCCAACTATTATTACAATTACCAGTATTAGTGTTTGCAAAACTCAGTACATATGGCTATGCCTTGAGGGTTTAGTTACCCTAGTAATTTTCTCTCGCCTTCCATTGCTACTTCTCCCACAGCATTCTCTGAAATACTTTCAATAGAACCACATGGAAGAAGGTTTTTCACCCCCTCTAAGGACAGTCGTTTTATCACATTGTGAGACAATGACACACCCAAAAGTTTATTTTAGAAATCAGGCAATGCAGCCAATAGCATGTTTGTTCATCAAGCAGAAATGCTTGTAACTTCTTCCCCCACAAAAGGGAGAGCTGGGAGCTCTTAGCAAATTAAAGCCACCTAAGCATTAATCTATCTGGAGTAGGTTACAAAAACAACAAAACCAAGCCATTGACACTCAGGCACACAAATCTATAATACACCTTCATTCTGACATGAAGAGAGGGGAAGATGAGTAAGCTTCCTTTGAAACAGTTTCCCTTGTTTCAAAAGGCAAAAATCTCATCACCCACTCCAGAGACAAGCATGTAACAGCTCCTACTGTACAGACTGGTGTTCCCACAGGTACAGGAGTCAATGGCAGCAACAGGCTGATGAGCTCACACAGAGGAGACCTGGAAGACACCAGGGACTCAACAAAACCAGTGCTCTGATGGTTTCCTAAGCTACAATATTTTCAGCATGTTTCCCAGTTTTTTCATCTAATAAATATTACTTTGTTTCAAACCTCTCATAAACCAGTCCTGAATGTTGCTAACACTTCTGACAAGAAGTCCATACCATCAGATGAAGGTGTATTCATCTACTACTTGTGACAGTATCTTTTACACACTAGTCAAAGCCAGACTCTGAACACTGTGGTGTGCAAAGAGCTATCATTTCCAAAGGTCAAAATTTTACTTTCAGTTGCAGTATGAAGATTTACAATTTTTCATCCAGAACACTTTAAAGCTGTTCATTTTTTAGTTTTCTATTAAGTTTGTCAAAAGAGTAACCTACCTATCATAGAGAATTCCACAGACAACAAGGAAATTTTCAATAGAAACAACAAGAAATGAGTATTCATTTTCTACCTGTACCTTTGAAAATCCTCACCCACACAAAATCAATTACATCTACCTAGTTATAGAAAGATATTGAGGAACTGATTCTAAATTGGTTTTAACCAGAGTAATCAGTGTATACCTTAATCTTCAGAGAAAAGTTTTGATCATCCAACTGCCTTCACAAATTAAAACACTTTAATAAACTGAAATATTTTCACTTGGATATAAGAAATACAACCAGAAGTCCAGCACAGCAGTATAATTGTATTGTGAAGCTCCAGATGAGTTCTCTTTAATGACAAAAGCAATAACTTCTAAAAAAATAATCTAGCTGAGGCCAAGAAGCTGTTATTTCACTCCTTTTTTCAGAAACCAGGTATCTGTTATAGAGATTCAGTACTTGGATTCTTAACTACTCCACAACCTGTAACATCTACAGCCATCACTACAAGAACTGAAGAATCTCACCCTTCGCCTACATGTCTCAAGAATCAGATATTAGTGAAAATAAAAGGCATCAGTACTGTCACACTGCTCTGAAGACTGTCACTCGCTTAAATCACGGCATGGGTTTTGTTGCCTTCTGGATTCCCGTTTTAATCCTGCTATAGCCATGGCATTTAGTCTGCCACCCTTCCTTTCTGTCCTGCATTCCTCCTAGGATTTACTTCATGTTTACTGCTCCACATTAAGCCCCTTTTCCATCCTTTCAAGTGTCTTCCACTTTACCCCTCACAAAACAACATAATTGATAAAAATCTTTAGACTTCAAACGTGGAAGACTAAAGATAATGACTCAAAGCCTCTCTTGCCTTACTCTCAGGACAATGACCAGTTAAGGAGGACTGCAGAGTCAGCAGCCTGGATGTAGCTTAGGTCTAATACACTAAGGTTCACCTTTTGTAAAATAAGCCACCAGGAACAAGTTAAGAGACAAATCTTTAAAACAAATAAAATAAAAATTGTGTCTAGTTAAGAGCTGCAGCTTGACATCAACACAAATGCAGAAAAAGCAGAAGCAAATACTGCATTGGTGCACAGAACCAGGAGCCCTAAATGTTAAAGATTTTTATGTAAATTAACACATGCCCTGCTTAGCTTATTCAAACTCCTCTGACACCAGAATTTCAGTAAGAAAATAAATTCTTATATGCATTGTGCAGAGACATATAATCCCACCTACTGCATTCGACACTTAAATTTCCAGTTGCTGTAAATCAAGTTTTGTTTCCCTATCTTTTCCCCAGCCTCTATTTTGAGTATTTTTTCTGCCCTTGGCAGTCACAGCCATTTCCACAGTGACAAAGAATTGGTCATCACCGCTACTGCTTTGATTAGAATCAGAAGAAAGGGAAAAAAAAAAAAAAAAAAAAAATATATATATATACACACTATCCTCCCCATCCCTAAACCATGCACAACCTCAAGTAACAGGGTCATCTTTCATTGTAAGATATCATGGGACAGCAGAGCAAAACCAACAGCCTTACTCTTAAGGGAAACAGAGCAGTAGTGTT